AGGATGAAGAACGGGTTGTCGTTCTTGCGAATGAAGAGACTCGGATCGGCTGAGGAGGGGTGGAAGTCGAGTGACTCGAGGGTTGCCTTCAGCTTCTTGTGCCATTCCCGAGGAGCCTGCTTCAACCCGTAGACTGGTCGATTCAGCTTCCAGACCGTGCCGGGTGGAAAGGGTAAGGGAAATCCTTGAGGACGTTCCATGTAGATGTCCTCGGGGAGATCCCCTTGGAGAAATGCAGCAGAGACGTCCATGGAGTGAACGTCAAAGTTGCATCGAGCAGCGATGTCCAGCAGAGTCCGAAGTGTGGGCAGTTTGGCTGTCGGAGAGAATGTGTCGAAGAAGTCCAGGCCCTTCTTCTGCGTGAAGCCTTTTGCACAGTATCGCGCCTTGAAGACTGGGAGTTCGCCAGGCAGCTGCTTGACGCGAAAAACCCATTTGCCACGGACAATGTTAACTCCTCGCGGAGGAGAGACGTCCGTGAAAGAGTTGTTGCGAATGAATGCTTCACACTCCGCGATCATGGCTGCGAGCCACTGGGGGGAGTGTGGTCCAGAGATGGCTTCATCATATGAGTTCGGGGTCGGGATGGATGGATTTTCCGAGAAGTTAAGAGTTGGAGCGTCGGCAAGGTCGGGGAAGAGATGGCAGAGCTGACGGATGGCAGCATTGATCTCAATCAGCTCCTCATGCCTATCCTCCAAGAGGCCAGGCATGGATGCACCCCCGGCAGGAGGAGGCGGATTGAGGGAGATGCGAACAGAGAGGGCGAGAGGCGGAGCGGGACCATGAGAGCGGGTGCGGTGAGCAATAGGGACAGGAGAGGAGGGAGGTGGCGGGGGAGCAGGTGGGACATCGACATAAGAGCGTCCGTGGCGACGGCGACGATAGGTGATGGGCGAGTCGGGAGGAGAGGTGGAGGTTGGAGGCGGAAACGGAGGTGAAGGCGGGGAGGGAGTCGCGGGGGCAGGGGGAGCCACAGAAGGAGAGGGAGGTGGAGGGGCAGCTGCAGGAGCGGATGCAGGGGGAAGTGCAGGCGCGGGCGGAGGTGAACGGGCAACTGTGCCAGTGGGCGAAGAGGGGTGAGAGAGAGTGGAAGGAGATGGGGAAGGTGAGAGTGAGGGGGCCGCAGGAGCGGCAGAGGGAGGAGGTGGGGTGGGTGAAGTATCGAAATCGGCCCACACAAGCGAAGGTGGAGCGGTGGGGGTGGTGAAGAGAGGTAAAAAGGGCGACTCTCGTCAAAGGCGACATCGCGGCTACGAATGAGCTGATTGGTGGAGAGATTGAGGAAAAGGTAATCGGGAGAGTCCAGGTTGTGGCCGAGGTAGACACAGGGTTGAGCTTTGGGTGCAAATTTGCCGCCGTGGGTGCGACGTTCCTGAGGGTTGAGGAGGACATAAGCTGTACACCCCCATACGCGGAGAGAACGTGCACTGGGCTTGGTGCCGGTCCACAGTTCAGCGGGAGTGATGGCAGGCCGAAGAGGGTGAGGGTGAAGGTTGTACAGCAGCGTGGCATGAAGGAGGGCGTAACCCCAAAGGGAAGGTGGTGCACCAGCGTGAGTGAGAAGACAGCGAGCGATTTGCACGAGAGTGCGATTGCGACTTTCGGCAATGCCATTCTGCTGCGGACTGTGGGGAAGGGTGAAGGTCTGGCGAATGCCTTGGGAGGCACAGAACGCTTGAAGGGAATGGTTTCGAAATTCGCCACCGCCATCGGAATGGAGGCACTTGACTGAAGTGCGGAAATGATTTTGGGCTTGTCGAAGCCATGCGATGACGACATCTGGAACAGCTGCTTTGGAGGAGAGTAGGTGGACGGAGGCATAGCGAGAGTGATCGTCAACGAGCACTAGGAAGTAAGAGTGCCCGCCACGAGAGCGGACTGGAGCTGGGCCCCAGACGTCCATGTGGACGAGGTCAAGCGGGGCGGCTGCAGCAGAGGGCGAGGAAGGGTGAGGCAACTGGCGTAGTTTGCTTTGCGCGCAGTCCAAGCATGGAGGAGCGGGAGAAGTGGAGGGTGGAGGAAGTGTGTCGGGCAGGTGAAGAAGCAACTTCTTAGACGCAAGCTCGGAGAGCATGCGGAAGTTGGGATGCCCAAGACGATGGTGGTAAAGAATGGTTGGATCGGTGAGCTGACGGCAGGAGCACGATGATGTGGTGGAGGTAGAGTGTGCTTCAGTGGAAGATGGAGGTACTTGGAGTGTGTAGAGGTTGTTGGCGATCAGTGTGAAGCGTGCAAGTAGGGCATTGGTGGTGGGCTGAAGGAGATCACAGTGATTGGAATGAGCTGGGAAGATAGTGGTTACCCCTGCTCGTTGAATCTCATGTTGTGCAAGTAAGTTGTGCCGAAGAGTGGGCACGCATATGCCAGTGACTGTGCCAGATGGGAAGGCTGGGCATGGAAGAGTGGAGGAACCATGGGCGACAGTTGTGAAGCTGGAGTCAGCGCCCAGAAGAGGAATGGGTGCTTGGTATGGTTTGAAAGACTCTTTGTCTCGGAGGACTGTGTGGGTTGCGCCACTGTCCAGGACGAATTCAAGCGGTTTAGATGGTGTTTGTGGAGACGTCGAGTACTGGGAACTGGTTTCATTGATCATGGGAAGGCCAGGGAACAACAGGTTGAGACGAACATCAGGACTAGGGGCATGAACGGCTGAGTCCTGACTATCCTGTGCCTCAACCTGGTTGAGCTGGCGCATGCGAAGCCAGTTGGGCGGCTTGGAGTTGATACCATTCTTGGCGAACCAGTCGTCGTCCTTCTTTTTGAAACAGGTGGCGAGCGGGTGATTGGTGCCGCCGCACACCTGACCCGCACGGGGTCCCATTTTGATGACGTAAGGACAGGGTGGGTAGCGGTTACGAGTGGGTGGCGGATTGGGACGCGATGCTGGAGCCGGGACAGGAGCGCGAAGCGCATTTGCACGAGCCTGCGCAGTGTTGTCTTTTTCAGCAGAGAGAAGTGCGGAAGAGACTTTGGCAAAGGTTAGCTCTTCTGGCGGGAGATGGAGAAGCATGGAGCGGGTGACATTGTAAGAGGGGGTCAGCCCAACAAGCAGAGCTGCTGCAGGGGCTTGCTCTGGGAAGACAATGCCGAGTTGCTTCAGCTCCTGATGAATCCCTTGAATTTCAGCGACGTAATCTGCCATTCCAGGGCACTCCTCCAGACGCACTTGAAACATGCGGGGGATGAGGATCGCCACCCCCACAGCGGTTTTGTTGAGGAAGCGGTCGTTGAGGTACTCCCAGATGGCGTGCGCGGAGGGGTAGTTATGGTAAATTTTGACGAGCTCGGAAGGGGTAGTGCCGACGAAGACGCCAATGATAGCGGCGTCGGCTTGCTCCCGCACGCTGTAAGATTCCTCATACTTGGACATGGATTCCTCATGGGTTTTTAACTCTTCCCCTGTGGCTGTGGCCGAGAGCTTCTTGGGAAGGATCGGCATCTTTCCTTTGCCGCGATTGAGGAGGACATCCTTGAGGCAAATCCCCTCAATTTTGCGGCTTAGGAGATGCTTATCAACCCCATAGCTCCACTCCTTGAAGTTAGGGCTTGAGCCATTTGGGTCGAGGCGCAAGGGAGTGATCGGGTTTGAGAGAGACGCGGAAGGATACGCCATGATGCTCCAAGGACCCTTTCTCCGCGCGTAGCGCAGCTCTTAAGTCGCCGATAGGCACTTCGGCGACTTAAGAGAGCTGCGCGCAGCGCGGGCTCCGCGAAAAACAGGGTTTCCCTTTGCGGATTTTCAACACTCGGAGAAGAGGAATAGCCGATAAAGAGGGAAATCTGAACGCCAAAAATCTATGGAAACCCGCGATGTGCTGCTGCAATCCCGCTGCTCCGCGACCCCCCCTTTTCCGCTTCGCCGCTGCCCCCTTTCCGCTTCGCCGCTGCCCCCTTTCCGCTTCGCCGCTGCCCCCTTTCCGCTTCGCCGCTGCCCCCTTTCCGCTTCGCCGCTGCACCCCCCCGCTGTTGCAAGGGCGACGGGCGACAGCCCGTCCAGCTTCGACGAGCAGATGTGGGGCGACGGGCTCAGCCCGATCAGGTGCGACGAGCAGATGCAGGGCGACGGGCTCAGCCCGATCAGGTGCGACGAGCAGATGCGGGGCGACGGGCTCAGCCCGATCAGGTGCGACGAGCAGATGCGGGGCGACGGGCTCAGCCCGAAAAGAAGCGCCGCGCTGAGTTGAGGCGACTAGAAAAGCTTTGCGTTGTAAGACGCAAATGCTAGGCTCCAACGGAGCGAGAGGATCAAGAGCCGCTTAGGCGGAAACGAGCTCTGATACCATATCAGAAACTGAGAACTTGATTGATTGAAATGAGCAAGAGCATACATCCTTAAGTACCGAGCATCGGAGAGGATGGGAAGGGATAAGGGAGAATCGGAGGGAATCCCAAGGGAATCCTCCCAAATCGTGGGGATTTGGGATGGATTGGGTTGGGATAGGTTGGGGATGAAAACATAGCTACACCCAACCTAACAAATATGAGTATCCCTAAAACCAACAAAGTGTCAACACACAAAATTGTGCCAACCGAATTGCAGCCTATCTCTAACACTCCCCCCAGTTCTCTCTCGTACACTCGCTCTACACCGCCCACTTACTGCTGCTAGCTTCCTGTAATCCGTCATTGACTTGATCTCGTGCACCACACACTGGGACTGCAACCACGGGGAGAAAATCCACGGGATATATGGGCGCAAGTTCTTTAAGTGCATGAGGAAACGACTCGTTTCCTTTCATAAAGGCACATGGGAGTGGAGGCGTGGGTTCAGAGAGGGCATGGGAACCCAGGGGCACGACTATTGGCGCATCAATTGAGACGCGCAGGGCCACGAACAACAGTGAAGGCCTGGTGGAGGCAAGTGCCACCTGAAGGGAGAGGGAGAGGGTTCTTACCCATAGGGAGGGAGGTGTTACCTGGAGGGATAGAGGTGTTACCTGGAGGGAGAGAGGAGTCACCTGGAGGGAAAGAGGTGTCACCTGGAGGGAGAGAGGTGTCACCTGGAGGGAGAGAGGTGTCACCTGGAGGGAGAGAGGTGTCAACTTGAGGGAAAGAGATGTCACCTGGAGGGAAAGAGGTATCACCTGGAGGGAAAGAGGTGTCACCTGGAGGGAAAGAGGTGTCACCTGGAGGAGGGCGATGAAGGGGAGGAAGAGGTCCCTCTGAAGTCCGTTCTCATACAGCCGCACTGGCGGGCGGTTGGACGTTGAGACGAGCACCTGGGAAACGGGTGTGAGTGTATGGGGGGGAAGATATGAGGCGCAGCACGTAAGTGAGATCCCAAGGATCTCAAAAGCACCTGGGAAACGGGTGTGAGTGTATGGGGGGGAAGATATGAGGCGCAGCACGTAAGTGAGATCCCAAGGATCTCAAAAGCACCTGGGAAACGGGTGTGAGTGCATGGGGAAGATATGAGGCGCCTCTCAGGACTGACTAGCATGGGGAACAGATGTGAATGTACAGCTATGCTGGAAATACGTGTTTCCCGTTTTGCACGCTTGCTTTTGTACGCAAAACGCTACAGAGGAGGGGGTCGGGTACGCACAGACTTCGCTGGCTCGGGCAGGTTAAAAACAATTTCCGGGCAGGGAGTAGGAAGTTACGGGATGGAGGGGGGTGGCCAGCGGTTGGGAGGGAGGGTTGGCGTACTTCGAGTTCGAAATTCAAACTCGAAGCTGAGTTCGCGATGTGCAACCCCCAATTTTGAGTTCGCGCCGCCGCAGACTATCAATATGCACACCAAAACTGCAGCGTACGTGCTTTTGGTGTGTTTAAACGCAATATGCAAACACAATCGTCTGTTTTTTCCAACATAGATGTATAGAGGAGTTACGAGGCGTCTTAGATGTATATAGTGTATTTTCCAACATTTATTAGGATTCTCAAATAGCTTTATGGGAAGGGAGTTAGTGTACACAGCCACTCACCAGTCCCCTCTCAAAAAGATGCTTGAATAGCTTTATGGGAAGGGAGTTAGTGTACACAGCCACTCACCAGTCCCCTCTCAAAAAGATGCTTGAATAGCTTTATGGGAAGGGAGTTAGTGCACACAGCCACTCACCAGTCCCCTCTCAAAAAGATGCTTGAATAGCTTTATGGGAAGGGAGTTAGTGTACACAGCCACTCACCAGTCCCCTCTCAAAAAGATGCTTGAATAGCTTTATGGGAAGGGAGTTAGTGTACACAGCCACTCACCAGTCCCCTCTCAAAGAGGTGCTTGAATAGCTTTATGGGAAGGAAGTTACTGTACGGAGCCACTCACCAGGCCCCTCTCAAAGAGGTGCTTGAATGGCTTTATGGGAAGGGAGTTACTGCACACAGCCACTCACCAGTCCCCTCTCAAAGAGGTGCTTGAATAGGCGGTTGAGAATCATGGCGTCCGCAACGTCTGTGACCTGATGGATGGTGGGAGGGAGAGAATGGGGGTGATGAGGAGGATGAGGAGGATGAGGAGGAGGAGGAGGAGGAGGAGGAGGAGGAGGAGGAGGAGGAGGAGGAGGAGGAGGAGGAGGAGGAGGAGGAGGAGGAGGAGGAGGAGGAGGAGGAGGAGGAGGAGGAGGAGGAGGAGGAGGAGGAGGAGGAGGAGGAGGAGGAGGAGGAGGAGGAGGAGGATGAGGAGGATGAGGAGGATGAGGAGGATGAGGAGGATGAGAAGGATGAGGAGGATGAGGAGGATGAGGAGGAGGAGGAGGATGAGGAGGATGAGGAGAGAGCCGAATGACGGGGAGAGATGGGAGGGCGAGTAAGACACCTATCATGGCGTCACCAGCGTCTGTGACCGGGGGGATTGGGTAAGATTGATGGGGGACAATGAGGAGCCACCCAGAAAGGCAAGAGGAGACAGAACAGGAGGGACCCAGAAAGGCAAGAGGAGACAGAACAGGAGGGCGAAAAGGGTGAAGGTGCTTGAATAGTCGGCTGAGAATCATGGCGTCAGCAACGTTTGCGACCTGAAGGGGGGTGAGGGGAGAAAGGAGGGGGTGATGAGGAGCAAACAAGAATGAGAGGGAGGGTGGAAAAGATAGGGACGGAGTGGAAGAGATAGCGAGGGAGTGGGAGAGATAGGGAGGAAGTGAGAGAGATAGGGAGGAAGTGAGAGAGATAGGGAGCGAGTGGGAGAGATAGGGAGAGGGAATAGGAGAGATAGGACGAGTGGAAGGTGGCCAGAGAGAAAGAAAGATTGCGCAGAAAGAGAGAAAGATTGCGCAGAAAGAGAGAAAGATTGTGCAGAAAGCGAAAGTCTTAAGGCATGAAGATGGTAGGAGGAGGACCTCACCTCACAGAATGATCATAAGAGATTTACACATATTCTGAAACGCGATGAGATACTGTTAGTGTAGCGCACACTCACCATGAACTCGTCCAAACACAGCAAGAAGACTTTTGAGTCGACTCAAAATACGATGAGATTCGGTTAGTGCAGTGCGCACCATGAGGTGACTTCTGAGTCGACTCAAAATACGATGAGATTCGGTTAGTGTAGTGCGCTCACCATGAACTCGTCCAAACACAGCACTCTCGTTTCCGAGGTGATTTCGTTTGCCACATTCGCCAGGGGGTCAGACGTCCCCTTGTGCTTCTGCAAGAAGGAGGCGAGATGGAAAACGGGGGATAGCAGGGGAAGCCTTGTTCTGAGGCGGCTGTAAACATGTTCGGGGTCCGAGGTCCCCTTGTGCTTCTGCAAGAAGGCGAGATGGACCAGCAGGAAGGCGAGAATGCCAGCAAGAATGCCTCTTGGAGGGAAAGCAGGAAACACCTTGAAGGAATTGCAACAAATCCACCTGAAGGTGCATACAAAAACACTGCAGGAAGTCACTGCCTACGCGGCGACACTGCCCATGTGGCACTGCCGACGTGGCACACTGCCTGAGCGGCAACACTTGCCTGCAATCTGGAATGCACGGAGAGCATGAAGTCGTGGTAGTGGATCCTCGTCTTGGTTATCCACTCGGGCCTGGAAGCAGGGGAAAAGGAATCGGGGGAATGATGGGCGTCAGCAGTCATACTGCTACAAATGCACTGAGAGCATCAAAAGGTGGAAACGGATACTCTGCTTCGTGATCCACTCCGGTCTGAAAACAGGAGAAAGGCACGAAGGGGGGGGGTAGAGGACGCAACATCTCATGCTGCCAGGAGTGCACTGGGTGCATCAAGTCGTGGTAGTGAAATCCTTGTCGTTTCTATCCACTCCGGCATGACAATAAGGGAAGGAAGACCAACCGGCATGGCGCTCGCTCACTACATCCATCATGCAGTTTTTCGTTCTGTGCTCCTTCAGCTCCACTAGGCATGTTTTATTTTTTGCGTGCTTCTCCATGCCGCTGATTGCGCAGGGTGTTTTCGAGAATTCTCAAAAACACCCTGCACAATCATGGGGGGTGCTGTGTTCTCAAAAACACCCTGCACAATCTTGGTTCTGTGCTCCTTCAGCTCTGACAGGCATGAATAATTCCTTGCATGCTTCTCCATGCCGCTGACCATAGTCTCTCGCTGCCTCCTCTCAATCATCCTGCCCTGACGACAAACGCTTTCGCCCATGTTCACTTACTCTTACCCTGCTTCTGAGGCACTCAAGTTACAGCAATGCACACAGGGGATGCTGAAAATGCAGGCGCGTTTACATATCCTGGAAAAAGAGCCCACAGGCTGGCCTCTCCTGGAAGAATTGCCCATGGGCTGGGCCTCCCCTGAAACAAGAGGTACAGCTCCCTCATCAAAGTCTTGCCCGTGCCCACACCACCCACAAGCAGACGCCCTTACTGTTAGCAGGATGTTGTTGTTCCGAGGCGTATCCATATTGCACAGGACGCACACAGGTGCATAACACACAGCGGTGCACACAGCTCGTGGAAAAAGAGGTCCATCGCCATGGTTTTGTTCGTATCCACCCCCCCCCAGGCCCCTCACTCAAGGACATACACGAATGCTGTCTGCGGAATCCACAGGACACACAGCCTTGCACACAGCTCGTGGAAGAAGAGGTCCGTCATCATGGTCTTGCACGTGCGGCGTGCCAACCCCAGGCCCCTCGTTGGAGCATGCTGTTGTTTTGCGGCACATCCATTGTTCACAAGGCGTTCAGGCGTGCTTACAGCTCGTGGAAGAAAAGGTCCATCATCATGGTCTTTCCCGTGCCCACGCCGCCCCACAGGTACAGCCCTCTCACTGGCGGGTGCCGCTGGGGCTTCCTCATAAACAGAGACCAGAATGCCGGCCGCAGCTTCTTCCTGATTCATGGTGGGAACGGGATGTGCAGGGAAGCAGGGCGTTTGATGGGACGTGCATGCACGGAGAGGGCCCACAAGGCCCCTCACTGGTGCTTGCCACTGGAGCTTCCGCATGAACAGAGAACAGAATGCCGGCCACAGCTTCTTCCTGCTCAGTGTTGGTAAAGGGAGATGCATAAACGCGGATGGTCATCAGTACAGGACCCTCACAGGCGGGTGCCTCTGGGGCTTTCTCATGAGCAGAGACTGAAACGCGGGCCACAGCTTCTTCCTGGTAAATGCTGGGAATCGAATAGGCGGAAAGAGGCTTTCAATTCCGGGTACAGGCCCCTCACTGGCGGGGGGAGAAGGACGCATGGGAGGAGAATGAGGACGAGGGAGGATTGACAGGGGTCTGGACGACTTTTCAAAAGAAGGTGCATTGATGAGTATTGGCGGAAAAGGGTAAAACGTTTTCCTCCATAATACCTGTCGGAGGAGCACGCTAGGCGTTAAGAATGCTTACTTTTGGGGTTGGAACTCGGGATTGACTCCTGCTCAGATAAGCAAGACATAGAGATTCTGAAGTGCAGCCACACGGTTTCGTCCAGAAACGGATCATTAGTTCCTGAGGCACCTCTGAAGCAGGAACTTACTTTTGGAGTTGAAATTCGGGATTGCCTCCTGCTCCAATCAGAGTGTCGTACAGATTCTGAAGCGCCATCACGGTTTCATCCTGAAACGGGTCGCCCGTTCGCAGCTCCCCCAGCTGCTTTCTCCGCCCGTACTCGCCTAATGGGCCCGCACGGAAGACCTCAACTGCGACCAGAGGGCGCGGGCACCAATGCAGCATTATGGGAGGGGGGAGTCGTAGGGCACACAAGCGGTTGGTGCTCTCTGCCTTGAAACGAATTGCCCCGTTCGCAGCTACCCCAGCTGCTTTCTCCGCCCGTACTCGCCTAATGGACCCGCTCGGAAGACCTCAACTGCGACCAGAGGGCACCAATGCAGCAGCAGCAGGAGAGGGAGGAATCATAGAGCACATAGAAATTTTAACCTCACCCGCCGAAACGTGTATAACCTCACTTGTTGTCTTATAGGGTGTTACCTTCAGGAGCTGAAGCGGGCAGAGCATCGCCAGACGCCGCCGCTGAGCTCCAAATTCTCCGCTGGTTGAGCCCGTTATTAGGCCACCGTTGATTCAACCCGTTAAGTGACCACTCCAGTACAACTGCAGCAGCACCCGTTCTACAGTTCGACAACCTTGCCGGTAAGCTCGTCGTATGCTGCACTATACAAGTTATTGGTTGACCCAATTGTTGTAAAGCGTCTGGTCTGACCACTGGACTCTGGTCGGCAAGAGTCAGCTTGGGAGGGAATGCTGTCCCCGCTAATAGCCTAGCTATTCTTCTGATTCTAGACATGACTGAGTAAAAATGCGATTCTTCTTAATATTTTCACAGTCCTGCTGTGGTATCTCTGCGAACACCAGTCCCGCTCTGTCGCTCCAGCTGATCAGCTTCGGAATTCAGGCCAGGTGGTTCCGAGTGGCCCCACAGGCTATCCTAACCAGCGGCATGGTGGTAACGGAATGACGGCTGAACGTCACTGAAGCAGTCGGGGACGTCAGCGGACCATCGAGCTCCACCGATCAATTAGCTGACAAAACGGTGACCGCTAGCGGAATGGAGGCGAGGGATCTGTGGTACTGTATGGTACGCTTCTAGTAAAAGTTCCAAAGCTGAAAGCTGCAGTAAGCGAGCTGTAGCGAATGAAGCAGTTATGAAGAGTGGTTCCCGAGCCGTATAAACACGGACAAATTTTGAAATTTGGCGACGTGAAGTCGGATATTACGAGCAGCTCGCCAGACGGACACAAAGCAGAAGCTTCATTCAAACTAATTCTCTATCCCGACAGTCCCTAGGTGCATGACGGAACAAAGCCTTTAGAGACTCCGCGAGCTTCTACTCCTGAACAAGCCGCTGTTATGGCTCCGATAGGCAGAGCAGAAATAAAACTGTTGACCAGCTTCTGAACTCCAGCAATTTCATTTCTCGTCAGGGCGTGCCCTGAAAAGAAGAATTTCGGGATTTGTTTTCGGCTCAGATCGGTTTGTCTTAGTTTTATCGTGGTATTATGCAATACAGTAGTCAACAGGGCAAAATGAGGACACGAGGTTGCACACAAGGAACTCCCAAGACAGGTGGGCTGGACTGACTTGGCGGGAAACAGATTCCTATGGTGATGTCGGCAGATGACGTGAGGGCCAGAGCCCACGTGACGCAATCACCAGATCAGCATTTGCCCACAATTCGTCAGCACACACACTCGGCTTTTTGCCAAGTCACCTGGAGACCCTTCAACGAAGGCACCCAGCTGGCCCTCCAGCTGCTAAATTTTGATACATATTTACACGTCTACAAATGATTTGTGCACGCTCTTCTACAAAATGACATGAGAACACGTTCTCTTTCCTATATACTTGGAAAATGTAAACTTGTGATCAATTTCACAAGAATCGCATGTCCTTACAAGCATTTTGAATATCTCGCATGGATTAACATGAATATTCAACCTTTATTTCTCGAGCAAATATTGAGGAAACAAGAACGATATTTACTACTCTACCATCAAACGTTTGTATCCCGTGGTTGTTAGAATAGCGGAATGGGGAACTAGTGTTAAAATTATATAAGTTATAATTTTATATAGGCTTGGTAGGTTGCTACTGAACCTTTCTGTAGGGGGTACAAACCCCTCCTTGTACTCCCTTCTCTTCCTAATCCAACCCCCTTTCTTCTCGACTTTCCTCCTACTCCTAGATCCGTTTTTCCTAGCGCCGTTCCATGGCGGCCTTGCTCCTATCCTAGCTAAGCTAGTGTCCTAACTTTAGGGACCTAGCATCCTAAGTTCTTAACATGGTATCAGAGCCGGTCGTGTCCACCGGACCCTCTCCCTACGTTCCCGTTGCGTACTCCTGCTGCATTCGCAGCCTTCGCGGTTTTCTGCCTGCCTGCCGTCGCGACGCCAGGATGTCGCGTCGGCCCCTTGTTACCTGCCGTCGCGGCACCAAGGTGTCGCGACGGCCCCTGGTTGCCCGCCGTCGCGGCACCAAGGTGTCGCGACGGCCCCTCGTTGCCTGCCGTCGCGGCGCCAAGGTGTCGCGACGGCCCCTTGGTGCAGCCGTCGCCCGTCCGCCTCACCGCTGCGACATTGACGGTGCGCTGCGGCGGCGTCTACGGCAGCCGACGGCATCGACGGGCTGTGGCCGGCCGAGCGACGTCTGTGGCGTCGGCGGGCCTGCCGCCCGCTCGCCAGCCACGGGCGTCCCTCAGGACGACGTCCTCCCGCCAGTAAGCGCCGCGCCATTTATGGCGCGTCGCTGAAGACTCGCCCCGCCCCCCCCCCCCCCCCCCCCCCCCCATTCTCCCTTCCCCCTGCGTCTTCCCCTCCTCCTGTCGCAGCTGCTGTCTTCTGCCCGGACGTTGCCACATCACCGAGAGCCCTCAGCCGCGGCGGTCGCCGCCTGTTGTCCGCGACCCAGCCGCCTTGAGCCAGAGCTCCGCGGCTGCTTGTCGCTGACCCGCCTAGACGCCGTCGGCTGCCTCGTGTACGGGGGTGTGTCAACGCTTTGCCTGAGGGTCAGATACCCGGCTAAGCACGAGCCTGAGGGTGTGCGGGGTTAGGGGGTGGGTTGGGTGCGGGTGTGGGGGTGTGAGTGGGCTTGACACTACCAAGCCTAGGGGGTGTGTTAAAATTATATAAGTTATAATTTTATATAGGCTTGGTAGGTTGCTACTGAACCTTTCTGTAGGGGGTACAAACCCCTCCTTGTACTCCCTTCTCTTCCTAATCCAACCCCCTTTCTTCTCGACTTTCCTCCTACTCCTAGATCCGTTTTTCCTAGCGCCGTTCCATGGCGGCCTTGCTCCTATCCTAGCTAAGCTAGTGTCCTAACTTTAGGGACCTAGCATCCTAAGTTCTTAACAACTAGGAGCTAGGCATAGGAGCGTAGCATGAGGTTTTAGGCTAGGGGGTAAAATTTTGAGAGAGAAGAGAAGTTGGCGAGAGAAAAGGAGGGATGGACTAGAAGAGAAGGAGATATACTTCTACATTAGGATTCAGTTAGTAGCACAAGCCTATATAAAGATATATTTAAATATATACTTTGACAAGGGTAACCTCCTTTCTTAGCTTGTTGCTTGTTTTGTACATATCGATGTCACTTTGCTTGCAACTTGCTGACCCTTGAGCTGCTGCATGACTGGAAGAGTCACCTCACCTCTCCTGCGGTATGGCAGAGGCAGCGATTATGCTGGATTCGGGACTCGTTTGTGCTTGAATGAAAGAATTCATGAACAGAAGACACAAAGCCGTGGCTGCACTTGACTACAAGGCACTTCAGATCGAATTCTGAAGTTGGGCCGACGACGAAGTTTTCCCTTCGGCACCAAGTTTTCCCATGCGACTCGGGAAACTGTGGTGGATACCATCCTTGCTGCGAAACGCTCGCGATAAGGCTTGCGAAAACAAGCCGCGAAAATGCGACCTGCAAAACTTCGCGGCCAACTAGGAAGCGCGCACAACGGGCTGCGACCCATAGGCGACCTGAAAAATGTACCGGATGCGCGTCTGCAACCTGTCGGTCGAAATTTGCAACAACACTGGTACAAAAAAACCCGCCAAGAGCCCCAAAACATACCAAACGCGCGCAGCGCCGTAAATCATCGAGTGCCACTTCTCCTACCCAATTCGACAACCTCTCGTACAGACGAACAATCAATACAAAAAGGCGTACAGCAGACTACTACTGCAGCATGACTACTTCTAGTTTCTGAAAACAAGCTACAGGTTCCTCCCCGCTGAACTCCTACACCATGGGCCGGAAAAACAAGGGCCAGACAGAGAAACGCAAGGGAATCTCGGAGGTCGAGGCGGCACCGCGCCCGACACCACCCTTTCTCCAGTACCTGTCGGATCTCGAGGCAAATGGCATCAAGCGGATCCGCCTAGTCGGCGTCACGGACTTGCCCGCTAGGAGAGGAGGGAAACGGAAGAATGGGCTTGCTGCGTCGACGAGTGGCCATGGCAACGACGGCGCGGGCGAATACGGCTGCGGGTCCGAGCTCGATGCGGACACTATCAACCCCGAAGACGAGCGCTATTGTGACTCCGACGGCTACACCGCTGCCGACCAAGTGGACGACGATGGCGACGAGGACACCGAAACACCTGCAGACGGTGCAAACAGGAGGGGCAAGGGGAAGGTGTCCGGCGCGAGACAAGCGAGTCGATATTGGGAGGAGGACGAGCTTGCAGAGCTTGCGGCGGCAATGTGGGCAGCGAAAGAAGACTTCGACACGCTGAGGGGCAAGCAGGGAGGGCAGCCATGGAAGAAGCTACGCCGCGTGCTGCGCGAGGCGAATCCCAACTGGTGCCGTCCTAGTTACGCCATGCAAAAATGTTGGGCGCGCCTCAAGAGTCGACTGGATGAAATCGAGGAGGCAGATTCCAGGTCCGGTAACAACCCGATGCCCAAGCCGGAGTGGTACCAGCATGCATGGAATTACTGGAATTGCGACCGCGCTCCGAACCCCCATGTCGTCGACGAAGGTGGTGCGCGCATTGAGCACGCGACGCCGCGGACCGCGCACGGCACGCGGTCCGCACCTTCTACCGCACCCCCCGGAACTACCGCGCCAGGTACGGAAACCACACACAAAACCAATGTACGGGAACCCCGAGTCATTGAACAAGCTTTCAATCACGCACTCAAGACACGGGGCCTTATTACAGAGCAGGGCGCAAACGAATGTTGAGACATAACCTCAACTAACCCACACTACCCCAACTCCCACACTCCCATCAGGCTCGACGGTTTCACCTGGAAACATCGCGCAAAATAGTCACGCCGTGGAGCCGCCGAGAAACGACGGTCATCAGGTCGTAGCCGATACGCTCACCCGTGTGATGGAAGAGCGTACAGCGCGCCAAGAAGTCGTCATGGGGAAGCTCGTTTCTGTTCTTGAGCTCCTCACCCAGGCGGCCGGAGCCGCGCCAGCACCTGTCCCACTGCGGGCTCCAACGGCTGGAACCCGCAGTGGGACAGCCTCGCCTGGTGGCCGTCACATCGACGGAAGCACCATGCCATCTGCATTTCAGCATGGTGCGCCACACGGTGCCGGCTTTGCTTCAGTGTACCCTGCATGGTTTCCATCCGGTGGCTCGCCGAAACGTGACGTCAGTGCGGTTCATCCGCAGAATGCGCCAATTCGCGCATCGGTCCTCCCGTTTCCCGCTCCCGATGCTGTAAATGTCGCGCACGTCGCGGCGCCAGCACACTCTACGGACGAGGGTGGCGGGCCGGCGCGCCACTCGCACCTTGATTCCGCGCCGGCGGCACGCATGACCGCGACGGTTGTCATGGGGGCAGATGGAAATTGGTATTTCACTGCCCCCCCATTTGATGGCCATCTTCACCATGCCGCATGAGCCATGCGGCGTGGATGTGTGTGCCGAAGTCCCGGCGACGCGCGACCACGGCCTCGCGGTTGGGCGCAGGAGTGGGCTGCCATACGTACTCCGCCATACCCCGCCTCTCCCACCACCTGTTCAATTCTCTAGCCGTGCCATCTCTCCACTGTCCGCGTGATTGTCTTTTAGCGGAGGCTTGGTACTCTATCATGTTATGTAGTACCACTGCACATCCAGCTCCCGCGCACACCCGCCAAAGCCGCCCCCCGTGACATCCTCCGAAGATCCGAAATCTGTTTTTGAACAACCCCATGGTCCGCTCCACTGCCATCCGCGTTGATGATTGCACGTAATTAAAACTTTGCTCCCATCCTAGCAATATTCTAGCCTTGCTGGCGTGTATCGGAACTAAACAGAAATCCTTCAAAGGGTATGCCGCGTCACCCAACACTTGGTATGGCATGATCTCGCCATTTTCCATGCGTGCATAGAGAGCACTCTTGGTAAAGACCCTTGCATCGTGTGCGGACCCTGGCCATCCGACGACGTAGTCCCAAATACGGCACTTGGAGTCCACGGTCAACTGTAATTGCACGGAGTACGTTTGTTTCCGACAATAGTACTCCGAGCGCCATTCGTGGATGCCGCGGACTTGTAAGTGCGTGCCGTCTACAGCCCCTATGACGTTGGGTATCCCTCTGCAGGCGCGGAAATCCAGCGCCATCTCGGCCATTTCTTCTCGTGATGGGAATTGAACCCAGGCTTCTTTGTAACGTTTCGGGAAAGAAAGTAGGAAGCGGTCAACGATGCAGTGACAAACTGTCTTCGGCACCCCGAAGTAAAGACTCATATCCAGATAGGTCATCCCCGTCGCTAAATACTTTATCGGTATGAGAATACACAGTGGTAAAGGAACCCCATGAGAGATGATGATGTTGTGGTAATCATTAGCCATGCCCTCTTTCAAGTGTTCTAGTATGTCTCGGTCGATTCGGAAAAGGTCCTCAAACTCAGCATCGTCGAAATCGTCGATGCGGTCCAGCCACCACTGGATCCGCTCACGTCTGTACTCTGCATAGCGCTTATGGCGAGCGCGTCGGGTCTCCGCGCGTTTAAGCGCATATTCCACGCCGATCGCATCGAGGGCTTCCACTACGAGCTGAGCTACAATTATGTCTGTGACATCGTCGTCGAGGCGCTGCCATTCCATGAACGCGGCTACTGCTGCTGCGGCGGTTGCCAGAGTGTGAGCCATGGCGGAATAGGACCTTCGAACCCGCACTGCTAAACTGTACCCAACGCGTTGCGATGTTGCTGTTATATGGCTAAAGAGGCGATATTGGGGTCCAGGAAGTTCTGCCCGTTATTCGTTTCGTGCCTCGTTTGTTTGTGTGCTGTTACGGGCAGCTCATGCGGTAACCGTGCCACTGGGCCGTCTGTTTTGCAAACGTGGCTCACGTTCACCCACAGTACCAATTTTCGCCGGACGTGTTGATCGCGTTGGTCGTGCGCCCACGTCGCAGGGCACGTTGGCGAAACTTTTGGTTTCGGCAAAAGCCGAAGCGCACAGCCCAACATTGCATTCCCAATTTTAGACATTTCGAGCCGCATGGGAAAACTTTGCTCGTCGGCCCAACTTCAGAATACGATCTCAGATTGAGCAAGGGTGCGTCGGTCCTACCCGTTATTCTCCATAGATGCACCGGCCTTTATTCAGCCACTAGTCACTCCCCTACTCTTGCCTAGCTCACAAGCAGCAAGCGAGCATATCCCTCACCGCTTCTAGCTGCTCCACTTATTCGTCTCTGAACTCAATCCGGTCGTTTCGGGGTTTGAAAACCTCGATGTCGTCGAGCAGGTCAGCAGTGAGCCACTTCCACTTGGACTCGAACAGAGGGCCCGCGCAGAAATGCGTGCATGGTGGCTGGTTCGGCTCCTCATCAGGTGTTTGACACCTTGGGATCCAAATCGCGGGCTTCGGCTTGGAGTACTTTGAGGAATTCTCCACGTCATCCTGGGTAGGGCGAGCGTTACACTGGAACGTGATTGGCTGGGTGACATTAGCCGGATCCTCCAACGCACTGGCGGAATACTTGACCAATAGAATCGCCCAGTACAGCCGACGGCCCTCCCAGGTGCACACGTCACTCGCGAGCCGATTGGCCTGCTTCACGATCCGTCGGGCCTTCTTATCGTGATCCCGAGCCCATTCGATCTGAGCATACAGGTTTGAGAAGTACCGGTGCGTGGGTACGAAATGACGGTTGGGGCACAGCAGGGGGTCAAAGAACTGGGTGTATTCGCTCGCTTGTTTGATCAGCATCTGGTTGCTCGACAGCACGCCGCACACGCGCCCGCTGCCCGTTCCGCCGTCCACGTCAAGCTCGTACTTGTAGCCCTGCAGCTCCGACGGGCCGAGCCTGCCGCCGATCTCGATGTCGTCTTCGCGAAGGCTGTCCGTGAATTCCGGATCGATTCCCTTGACGACTTTCGCGTCGAGTAGATCGGGACGCACGTCGGACATTTTGTGCACGCGGAAGCGCGGGCTGGCGCGCCACTGCATGTCGTAGGTGACGTGGAAATTCGTCATGCCGCCGCGAAACACGGCACGGCTCTGCTTCTGCTCCCACAGAACGGTATCCTCCACATCCCTGAAGTAACTCTTGCTCAGATCCACAGGGTCAGGATACAAAATATCGATGCTGCCCGGCGCGCCGTGCGGGCTGAAAATGGGGAGACCTGCCCGGAGTTTCGCGATAGATGCGGCTTTGCTAATGTGCAAGTCACAGGTGCTGAGGAAGAATTCGGCGTTGAGCGAGTGTAGCTTGTACATCGAGATCGCTTCCTTGATCATGCGAATGGAGAAGACGAAGCGGCGCATGCGGTACCAGTCGAACTCGAAGCCGCCGAAGCGGAAGAAGATCTCGCCGTTCACGATGCGCACGTGGCCGGCACAGGATAGCACCTGGAATAATCGGTCGGGGGAGGAGATGGGGCGGGTTGGGGAGGTGGGTGGAAGATGAGGGTGAAAAAAGGTGAGCTGAAGGTGGAGGAGTCGGGAATGCAGAGAAGGGGGGTTAGGGGGAAGAACGTGGGAGCTGAAGAGGTGGCAGAATGAGCGAGAAGGGGAAGGGGGAAGGCTATGGGATGACGGGGGGGACGGAAAGAAACAGGGGGGGCGGGGGGGGGGGGGGGGGGGGGGGGGGTAGGGGGGAGAATGGCGAAGGGGAAGGACTCACGTTAGCCATGCGGCCCATCCGGTGAAGAATCTTCGGGCTGATCATTCCCCCTGCGCCCATGCCCCGCTTCACCCCCGGAATGCCCATCCACGGGCGCAGGTAGTTGTGCGCCAGGCACGCCAGCTGGCGCACTTTGGCGGAGCCGCTGCGCGCGTGCAGCTCCGGAAACGCCGCGAGCTCGGTAACGCACTCGTTCTCATCGCTTATATCGGGGATGCCGCAGGATCCCAGCCCCGCCTCGTACAGCCTCTCGATGGGCTCCGAACCCGCCGGCGAGTTTTCGCTGCTGCTGCCCCCGGGAGAAACGGCGTCGCTGCCCGGGCGCGGCACGGGCTGCTTGAGTAGCGCATCGGCGAGCTCGAATTGGTGCCGTTGGAGTCTTCTACGTGGCGTGTCGTCCACCTGGTTTAGGAAACAAGATTGTGATTAAAAAGGAAACCGGTTTAGGAACAAGCGACGACTGCGCTAACTGGAATCAGGATTAGGAAGTAGAAACCCTTTTTCGTTCTTGAGAGGGTGTTTGGAAACAAGCGCTAGGCGAGCCTGCGTGTCGGCGTACCATGAAGCTGGACTGGAAGGGCATGGCGAAAGTCGAAGTTCCACTGAGCAATATGAGAAATAGTAGGCATCTTGAAAGGTGCATACTGGAGCCCATGACGGAAGCGTAGTGCCAATCTAATAGACAAGACGTCTAGCCAGGGGTTTCTGACAATTTTTAGCTCTAATACTTCTCACGCTGTAGAACCGTGGGCTGGTCTTCGACTTCGTTGCGGGCTCAAGTTCTGATGAAATGCCCCAAGCTGATGAGGTCAATTTATTTGGGTAGTGAGTTCCCTGCTTCCCTGCTTCCCTGCTTCCCTCCTCGCCATCATCAGCCTCAACACTCTGGCGTAACTCATGCATGTGCTTTGGTCCCACTGTTGCGGCTGGTCAACCTGAACTTGAGGTCGGGCTGGGGGTGGTGGTGGTGGTGGTGACTGCATTCACAGCTGTGAATGAGGTTTCGCTTGCTCCAGTGGTGCTGTGGCCGTGACGAACAATTTCCACTGGCTGGGGACACAGTGTTACAATCGCGAAAACATTACACGAATTGACAGCTTCGCGAGAACACATCATACGACCTTCTTCGCCACAATAAGTTTCCTCCGCGTGCCTCGGTGGCCCATACGGACCCACATGTTCCACCAAATCGCCAACTGGAACAGTGTGGCCTGTGTCACAAATGCGGCTCGGCTAGTGAGGGTAGTGGGGAAGTGAACGCGGTGTTTGGGGGTTGGGGGGGGAAGGAGTGTGGTGTGGATTCGAACCAACTCTTCCCATCCGACGGCGAGAATTGCCCCCAGACATCATCCAACAGACAGCATCACTAAGGGCCACTAAAAGTACACTACACGAAAAGAAGATTGAGTGCTATAGCCGATGCAGCCTCATGTAACACATGTTAAAATTATATAAGTTATATATAATTGATAGGTTTGGTAGTTGTTACTGAACCTTACTGTAGAGGGTACAATCCCCTCCTTGTACCCCTCTCTCTTCCTAATCGACCCTCTTCTCTCTCGTCAATCTTCCTAGCTAAACCTCGGCCGCCATTCCATGGCGGCCTTCTCCTTTCTTGCTAGCTCACTTCAAGACAACACATTCATACTGCGCAAAATCCTTAATCAAGAACGTAAAAAACAGCAAAAACGAGCGCGCAAAATGGCATGTCCTAATCGCTCATTTGTCATACGGAAAGCGTCATGTTCCTCCGTGCGCCCGTTCTCTATTCGCGTTGGCCGGTCTTCCGTTTGATGAGCTTGAGGCTGTCGAGAGACCCGCTGGGGTTGCCCTAGAGATCATCGGGAGGGCCACTGGTCTCTATGCCTGGGGGGTTCTGGGCGCGCTGACCTGCTAGGAGAAACAAGCCCTTTTAGCGCAGTGGTCAGCGGCTATGCTAACGAGATAGTATTGGAGTAAACCACGCATTTAGGGTGGTCAGGATCTATATTTGGTGGAACCAAGAGTAAAAAGTCAACGGAAGACTTGACACCTTGCAAAGGAAATCTCAGAAACAACAAGGATAATGAAAACGGATAAAAATATGCATCTTTATAGTATAGAAAGTACCTATTCGGAATGTACCATTTCGACGTGTATGACGACTAGTCGCGTGATATGACTAGTGACTTTTCATGTGACTGAGGGTGGCGTGACCCTTTGGATCACTATACGCGCCAACCAATTGTTCCCGCGTTGACCCGCGACTGCTGACGTCATCACGCGCGTCCTTCCATATGAGGTGTCACGCTCCTAGTGCAATCTAGGTACTATATCAGGAATGCATGAATGGTAAATCTATCGAGTATACTTCAACACTCCCCTTCATTCCTGCGTGTATGTCTCTAGGTAAGTATCGTCACGTGTGCATATTCCAACCAGGTTGGAGCAGTATTGAAATTTGCCCATGGGAGTTTCTTCGTAAGAAAATCAGCTACCATTTTTTCTGTAGGGCGGTACTTCATGATGACCTTCCCTTTGTCGATTTCATCCTTGACAAAGAAGTATCGGAAGGCGACGTATTTTGTCATGTTGATGAAGCCGGGTTATGTTTGCAATCTTGATTGTAGTCTGATTGTCGCTGAGTAACTTGAAGTTACGAGTTGTTGCGATTTTTGCATCTTAAGTAACTCTTGAAGATAAGAGTCTTTCGCGAACCGCAGAGCTTGCTGCGATGAATTCTGATTCGGCTGCAAAAGTGCGATGACCTCCTGTCTTGTTGAGTTCCTAGAAATGACACCACCTAGTTCAAGCTTGAAGATGAACCGTATGCGTGAACGCCTGTTGTCGGGGTCAGCAACATGATCCGCATCAACATATCAAGTCAGTCAAAATTTTGCTGCAGTATTTGTCGTGTAGCTGAGACCAATTGTAGGAGTCGAAATGAAATATTGGAGGGCGGATCGGCCATATTCTCCCCTTCAGGTGAGCCCAGATACTGTGCAAGCTGACTCGTAATATAGGCAAGATCTGGGCGGCATGTAACAGCTGCAAATAGAAGACACCCGAACTGCTGCTGGTATAGCTACTTTCAACTACACTTAGCTAAGTCAGCAATGGCTGGTGAAAATTACAGCACATACTTAGTTGGGAAATTTCACAAGCCTAAAAGTAGTAGTTAAACAGTTTCAGGTGATGAAACTACCATTTGTTACGTACGTTTCCGCAGTTACGAAATGTTGCATCACATGCGTTCAATTTCTCAATGTCTCATGTAGTCTTGCCTTTTTGAACCAGATCGGTTTCTTAAGTAACTTATGAAGGGGGCGGAACTTCGCACACTTTCGGAACTACCCCCTAGCGCTAGAAAGGCGTTTCTGCCGAGGGGCCGTTCGCAAAAGAGAGTTTCGCGAGCTCTTCCTGCTGCGCTAAAAAAAAGAGAGGGTTATGAACTGTCTTTTTGCAGACCTCCTGCAGATGGCAGCCCTCCTGCCAATGGGCCCTTGCGCCTATTCACCTGGGTTGCCTTTAGAAGCGTATTCCATGCGCATTTTCGCAGACGACAGGCCTTCTGCAAATGGCCCCTCGGCAGAAGGGTCTTGTGAGAGTATGGCCCCATTACACTTCTTTCTCATTCCCATCTTTGTCCTCTATCTCATTCTTTTTTTTTTTTAATCCTGATTCCTTTGATCTTCATCTCATACCATTTGGTTTCCTATTCCGCCTTTCACATTATCCTTTGGGTTATTCTATTATTATAATTACAGTAACGGAACAATCTGTCCACAAAATGGCACTGTTCCGCAAGTTCGTGATGTTTTGACAAGTATAAATGAATTATTTACAATCTAGAGCCAGTGGACATTACGCAAAAAAAAATGATGCACCTCCAGATATGACAAACTCCAACCAATGTCGAATTGCTAACAGTGAGTACACGTTTTAATGCTCGATGGTCGATGTGGACAAATACTACCCGGGTAGAGACTAGATCCGTTTCCGTCGAGCATTCTTTGCATGAGCTAGCAAAATCCCTCGGACTTTCGTCAGCGCATGCCCCTTACCCCGTGATCCTCCAGTAACCACGCGCCCGCTTGCTTCGCGTCAGAGATACCAGATCATGAGCCTCTGTCGCCAGGGTCTGAGTTTTCGACAGATCGCACGAACACTAGGAATAGGGCACAGAATCGACCAAAAAAACACTCTGAAGGCTAGTCTCAGCAGTAGTCATCTAGCAGCTAGGCCAAATGTCCACTTTTCAGGTCGACCGCGACTGCTCTCAGCGTGACACATGCGCATTTTCGTGCACACCATCATGTCAGGTGCCGCGTTGACGAGCATTAAGGTTGCATAACCACTGGAATGGAATCACGTTGTTAAGGTCCACCCTCACACTAAACGAAATGCCCTCAAGGTGACTGGGTTAGTCGCTGTACAGCTATTGCGCAAGCCTCAACTATTAGCGCGCAACATTCGCGACTATACGGAATTTTGCCAGAGCCCACCTAGACTGGACTCTGGACGTCTGGAAGCGGGTGATCAGGTCAAACGAGACTCAGATCACTCGATATTGGTCGGATAGCCACACCCACGCATGTGCAAGATTGATGGCCGCATAGATGGCCAACTCTATCATAGCATATTGCAGGACGAGGTGGCTCAAACTCTTGATTTCTATTATTTGACCGTCTCTGGCATGACGTTCCAGTACATTGTACAACCCCAAACCCAAGTGTAGGATCGTTCAGGAGTGGCTAGCAGAGCAAGATTTTTTTGTCCTCAATGACCCTTGTCCTCCCCCGACCCCAATCCCATCGAGCAGCTCGCCAAACATGAGCAACCTCCCACAGGCATGCTGCAAACTTGGGAGGAGGTGCAGGAGGCATGGGACAGCATTGGGGCTGGCGTGTGCAAGGCTTAGATAGAAAGTATGCCTAGGAAGATCACAGCACGAAGTAGGGATAAGGGGAGATGGACCCGGTATCGATAAGGATAATTTCAAATGTCGCTCATCCTGGGAAAATTCTGTCCGAGTGTACCACTTGTGATCTTCGTTGTGCTAAGTTCTGTTCTGGTGTGTTTTTTGGACAAGATGTTATTTGTCACACAAGCCTACAACAGTGGCAAATAGAACCTTAAAATCAGGACATTAAAAACCTGATCATTTTCTCATGGGCTCTAATTTTGTCCAATTAGTGGCCAACATGTGGACAGATTGTTCCGTCACTGTATATCACCGACCAGGCTCGCGATGTACTGGCGCGCTATATCTAACATAATCCTGCCGTAATTCCTTATATCCTCGCATGGCTATACGCAGGGTGATTCTATTTCTAGAAGGGTCTATTCCCTTTGGATAGGATAAACCTGGTTACCTGATGTACTTGGAAGTACAAAGGCGCATCAATCGATAGTGCAACTTTTCCTCGACACATTCGATCCTGTAACACTTGGTAATTAGAGTTTTTCTCATTCAGCCATGCTCAGCTAACCAGAAGCAGCGGGAAAACCTACCTCGCAAAAACCGCCGGGGGCGACTAATTCGGCACCGATTCTGGTAAGTACCAGCTCCGCGTTTTTTGAATTAACTCCTCCGCGTGTGTTTTGAACAGGATGGCGAACTTCGACAATGCTGAGGTTACCCAACAACTCTTCGCGAGCATCGCTGCCCTTCAGGAGAAGATGCGAGCCGATCGCGAAGCTTGGCGAAATGATTTCGAGCAAGTAAATCGACTCGCGGCGCACAGCACGAAACGACAACGGCGACGACGCAGCAGTTGCAGCAGTTTCTCAAGCTCAGAAACCGTGCACACCTGAGTCGTTCGATCCGAGCGATCGAAATTCCGACGTCCGCAGATGGATCGCCGGTATGGAGATCTACTTCGCAGTCGTTGGATGGAGCTCGCCAGTCTGGGAAGGTCAATGCGTACGACTTGCGGTGACATTGGTGCGAGGGCCGACACTCGAATGGATCGGCGACAACAGTAATTTCATCCACGGCGAAGCCACGTGGTAGCAGTTCCGAAATGACCTGTTGAAACGTTTCGAGCCAATGAATTCGGGTTTCCTTGCCCGGGAAAAAAATCATCGCCATTGACAGTTCGGGAGTGTAGCACAGTATTCGCAAGAGATGGAGGAATTTTATAACCATATTCCTGACCTGGCCGAAGGGGAAAAAGTACAGTCGTATCTCGCCAGGCTGAAGACCGAAGTCAAACGACAGGTAGCAGCGAGAAATTACGCGAGCTACAGTGACATCGTATCGGCAGCGGAGCAGTTTGACATGGTCAACGCCGGAACACGACGGGCGCAATTGGCAGTACGCGACTTGGCGACTGCTCGGCTCACCCCACGTTCGCCGACCCGAATGAAATCGACAGGTTCGACGGGCGGTCACGTCTGAAAAACACCAAATCACGTGTGATTTTTGCGGGGTGCCGGACCATTGAATCTTCGACTGTAATAAAATGAAAGCCGCACGTGCAGAGTATTGGGCACGCAAAGTGGCGGAAATTCTTCGGCCAATCAAAAGCAAGAAACCGGGATTCGCCAGTGATTCCGGATCTAGCTGGTGAAAAAGAAAATATACGAAAACTGCCTCGGGATTACGGGAAAATCAGCATCAACGAAGCTGATTCGACGCGAGCAGGAGGAAATGATAGGGGAGAATCTCCACCCCACGACTAGTCTTTGCCAGAGAAAATCGCCGAAAAAAATCGGACTCCGCGAAAAAAGACTCTGCCGAGACGGGGAAACTCCGAGAAGACCCAAAAAATAATAAGGATTCATTAAATTTATCTGATAAGGATGATTGAATGAAAATTTATGATTCTCGAGGGGCTAGAGCCTTGGAGAAATTTTGGGAGGGACTCCAAAAAAATCAGAAAATCGCGGAGATCGTACCGGTAACAGAGAACTTGGGGACAAAATTAAGGTGTGTGGAAAGAAGCTGACCTTTCCACGGAGTCAACGTCCTCTCCCGACACCAGCCCACAACGACTATCCGTTCCCCAGAGAAGAAGTCGATGAAGCTCAAGCAGCTCAAGAGAAAGCTCGAGGTCTACAAGAAGTTGCAAAAACCCCGAACTCCTCCATCGGATGCATCCGGTTCAGCAAATTCGGCATCAACGACACACACCGTCGTTAAGAAAGCTTAGGGTCTTGAGGGAGAGACTTTCTCCAAGCAACCCCGGCCAGTTGCTAACCTACGAGCAGATAGCAAGAAAACGGTGTGTACGGAATATTGGGATGTACCGTATGATCTTATTAACGAAACTACATTTGCGTACTCCGAGCAACGCCCGCCCCTTGTGCTCGAGGTCACCTGCAAAGGACGACGCCTCTAAGCACTCGTGGACAGCGGAGCATCACACACCGTCTGCGACAAGGCAGTAATCGACCAACTTCGGGAAGTGTACAAGCCTTCAGCATTCTCTGCAACGATGGTGGACTCCAGCAAGTTACCAATACATGACGAAGCGGTGTTACACCTACAAATCGGACCACTGCGCTGGAAACCTGCACTCCCCATCACCAATATAAAAGGGCTTTACTTGATCTTCGGGGCGAGACTTCCTAAAAATATTCAACCCTGAGATCAACTGGGTAAATCGTATCGCAAGCATCTACAAGAACAGAAGGAGATTCCAACTACCCGACTGGGATGATACATGAGATATCCTAGTGGAGACACTCGCAACATTCGAGAAGGAAGTAAAGCGAACCGACACCGGGTTCCTGGCGATAGCAACAGATGTGGAAAACGACGGAGAGAAAACCTTGGAACCTCCACAAAGATCAAGGAATTACTGAAGGAGTTCCAAGACATTCTTCCTGACGACCTTCTGAACGAGCTGCGGCCATACCGAACGCACCAACACGAGATTGTGGAAGAACAAGGTTCGAAGCCGACCTTTCCGAGCACCATATCGGCTCAGCCCCACGGAGCTAGCCGACATGAAGAAACAGATTGAGTATCTCCTGGCAAAAGGACTCATCCGACCATCCACTTCGCCATACGGTGCCCCAGTACTCTTCACACCGAAACCACATGGAAGCCTGCGCATGTGTATCGATTATCGAGCTCTCAACAAGCAGACCATCAAGAACAAATACGCGATTCCGCGAATCGATGACCTGCTTGACCAGCTTCGGGGAGCCACAGTATTTTCCTATTTGGATCTGCAGTCTGGATACTGGCAGATACGAATGGTGGACAATTCCATCCACAAAGCTGCCTTCCGAACTCGGTACGGGTCGTACGAGTATCTGGTAATGCCGTTCGGACTCACCAATGCACCGGCAACGGTCCAAGCCAAAATGAACCACAGTCTATGCCCACTCTTGGACGAATGCATGGTGGTGTACCTGGACGACATCGTCATCTACTCGCGCTACATGCAGCAGCACGTCGAACATTTGCGACGCGTCTTCGACATTCTTCGACGAGAACGATTCTACGTCAAATTATCTAAGAGCGAATTCGCCATCGAGAAGAATCCAATACCTAGGACACATGGTGAGCGCTCAAGGAGTTCACGTTGACCCCAAGAAGATCGAAGCCGTACGCATGTGGAAGACACCCGAAAACGTGAAGGAGTTGCAGCTGTTCCTAGGCTTCGCTAACTATTATAACAGGTTCGTGCCACAGTACGCGAAAATCGCAACACCACTTACGAATCTGCTGAAGAAGAACACACCCTATAAGTGGGAACCAAAACATCAGGAAGCCGTAGAGCAGCTGAAACAAGCACTCACATCCGCACCCGTACTCATCTTGCTAGACCCCGAACGCGACTACGTCATCGAAGCTGACGCTAGTGACCAGGCAGTGGGAGCAGTCTTGATGCAAGACCAGGGGAATGGAGTGCAACCAATCACCTACCTCAGCAAGAAACTATACGGGGCAGACTTAAACTCCCCGATACACGACAAGGAGGCCCTTGCTATTATTATTGCCTTCAAATCGTGGAGATGTTATCTTGAAGGACGAAAAACAGCCGTCTACATTGACCATTGCAGCTTGAAATATTTGAAGACACAACCAAACCTCTCCAGGCGGCAGGTCCGGTTGATTGAATTCCTCGAGACGCACTTCCACAATGACATCGGGTACAAGCCCAGCCACGAAATCAAAGTAGATGCTCTCAGTCGACCTACACATGTTGCCGCCATCCAAGTCGAAGGGATGAACCCACTACTCAAGGGACTCTTCACACACGGGTATGCCATTGACCCCGAAGTTCCTTTGGTAGAAAAGCGACACCTGCTACAGTGGGACAGTGGCATCGCGTAACGGAAGGGATCAACGAAAAATATGGGTACCCAATTACCATCCTTTGCGCCAGTTACTAATCGAAGAATACCATGATGTCCTATACACGGGACATTTCTGCAACTACAAGACACTCACCGGTATTGCAAAGCACTACTATTGGCCCTACATGATCCATAAATTCGTCACCTGGTGTGCTACATGTCAGCGGATGAAGAGCAGCAAGCAGGAAAAGGCAAGACTACTACAGCCTCTTCCTATCCCAGAACAGCCATGGCAAGTGGTTAACCTGGATTTCATAACCGGGTTACCAACTACCACAAATGGTCATAACGCAATCCTCGTCGTCATTGACAAATGCTAAAAAATGGGACACTTCATCCTGACACACACGACAGCACGCACCGAAGAGACAGCACAACTATTCGTTCGCTACATCATCTCACAACATGTCATTCCAACCACACTCATCTCCGACCGAGAACCTAAGTTCACCAGCACGTTCTGGAAGGAACTGATGTCTCTGCTCGGGACAAAACTCGCCATGTCATCCGCCTACCATCCGCAGATAGATGGACAGACCGAGCGCCTCAACCAACTTGTAGAGCAACTCCTCCACGTAGCATGCAAAGACGAAATCGCTAAATGGGAGTTGCATCTGCCCGTCCTGGAGTTTGCCTACAACAACGCCACTGACGTTGCTACTAGTCAAACACCGTTCTTCCTCTGTTACGAACGCCACCCGCTCACCCCACAAAAACCAACAGCATCAGCCATAGTTCAACCTGCACACGATTTCATCACGACCATGCATCGGCTTTGGGATCGGATCCACAAGCGCCTCCTCGACATTCAACAGCAACAGAAGTGCAAGGCCGATCGCCACCGCACTGACCATAGAATCACCGTGGGAGACTAGGTACTACTCGACACCCGCAATCTCGACATCTGTCATCTCCCATCCAAACTGCGACCTCGTTTCTGCGCGCCCTTTCTCGTTAAAGCACAGGTCACTCCCGTTACCTTCCGCTTATGCCTGCCAGCTACCTTAGAGGAGGGTTCGGTGGCCGTGGCAGGCGCTGAGGTAGGCATGAGCATTGTCGCGGCCCGGCTCGTTTCAGGTCAGCCTGCCGGACCTCGGCCGGGCCGGGCCAGGCTGAGGTCGGGCCGACCTTGGGAAATTCCCGGCCCGTGCCCGGGTTTAAGGGTCGGGCCGGCCTTGGTCCGGGGGCGGGCTAGGCCGGGCCTGGGGCGAAAACCGGGTCGGGGGCGGACCAGGGCGGGCCAGGGGCGGGTCAGGCCGGGTCGGGCCAGCTAAGGTCGGGCCGAGTTTCATGGATGGGCGGCCCGAGCCCGGCAAAATCCAGGCCAGACCCGGGCCGGGTTGGGCAGGGTTGCCGGGCATTTTGCTCATGCCTACGCTGAGGGCTGCTGGCTCAGAGGTGTGGCAGGCACCGTAACTCTGTCAAGAGGTGACTTAAAAACAGAGCCGGATGAAGCTTGTGTGCATATGGATTTAGCTTTGATTTAAGTTTGGTGAGGTGATTCTGCGAGGTACATTAAGCCTTATCAGTGCTTGAGTTCTTTGTGAAACATTATTCCAGACCTTTCCTTGCCGGTGCTGCATGTGTAATGAGAAACTAAAAGAATTTTTTCAACACTTCAGTATTTTTAAACACTCAAGCTCGTAATACCACAAATCCAATGTCTGAATTGAATTGATTCTGAAGGTAACCTAAGATAGTGGATTATGAATGAAATATTAGTATCACGAACAGGTCTCCGCTTTGATTTGTTCAACAAATATGTATTGTCATAGTATTGTCTCCATCATATTCATCATACACAAGTGTTGGCAATAGTTTTCCTTACACATGGCTACTGGAAAACCTTGTAGACAACCCTATTTTCATTGTTTTTCACTGATGCCACGTGGACAATGCTGATGTCATTGCGGCAGCCCAACCAGCCACCCAGCTAAGGAAACTGCAATCCAGCCTGTGCTGTGGGCCACGATTGTTGTGCTGCCTGTTGCACCGCCACCAACCAAACAGACGGAAGGCAAGGTACTGTACAGTGGTGCTCGTGTGGTGAGGTACTGTATGTGGTTGGAAGGATCACGAGCAGGCCACACAATAGGTTACAGCCACGGCCCACGATGGAGGGTAAAAATCTGGAATTTCGCACAAATCCAGGATTTTTTTATAGCTGAATCTGGATGTCTTTTCTTCGGTTCAAGGGTGTTGCCGAGTCGCCAGGAGAAATCCTACAACATTGGATAAAAAAAAACGCACGCTACGATAACATTCCTCCTGGAATTGAAGCATTCATACAGATATGCGAAGCTAGGGTTACCCTGATAAAAAAACAAAACATTCGTGAGCGCTTGTTCCCGCCTCAGTACTATTCATACTCACACCATAGATCGCACGGTCAGGATTCCTTCCGAACCACTTACACAGAAGCGTACGCTTATGCAGTGCAACAGTACAGCAGGAAGAATCGAAACGCTGCTCCCGCCCACCCCAGCCCCACCGAACAGTTCGCGTGGTTCCAGGCATTCAGCCCTAAGCAATGACTTGGTTTCAAAACCCGGTTGGAAGGGATGTCTAAAATGTGTAACCAGTTTGGCAGTAATAGCATGTCATGAGATATTTTCCCTCACAACCCTGCATCACCGTTTTGAAACCTTAACAAATCACTCTAGAGCGCAAAACATTTCTGAACATAAACTTGGGAAAGGTCGTGAGAGGATGAAACAAAGAGTTTTGTTTGTACAAAAACTGGAATTTAAATCGGTCTCGACGACGAAAACGCTTTGTCGGCATTTGCGAAGGTTGTAACCAAACGGAAAACTGGAACATGGCCAGGAACCAGACCGAAACTCTATGCCAAGTCACTCTCGCAGAACTGTTCGTCGTTCCTCAGCTGGAAGCAGCACTAAAGCTGCGTTACAGTACGGCACGGTGCAGCAACCACTCACGGGTCGTAAGTAACTGTTTCTTAGCCGTTTGACAAAATGGCTGGGACAGATCGTGGCGTGGCGTGATTCGTGAACGGGTTCTCTGACTGTCCGAATAGCCAGTCGCACACGCAAGTTCTGCGGATGAAGTTGTGACGGGAGTGATAGCAAGAAGTCGCCGACAGCATCACGACCCAAAACGAGGGAGCCTGCGACAAACACGAATCCGAGCCGAGCCCGTTTCAACTTTCAAACACTGCCCGCTGCACCATCAGCACCAGCAGCACCAGCAGCAGCGGTAGCAGTAGCAGCATCAGCATCACTGCTAGGAGTACAGTACAGTAGCAGCAGCGCCAAGCAGGAGCTATGTAGTACGGTTTACCTTAGGAGACGGACAACAAGACAACAGTCAGTCCGTCTGACAGAAGCTAGCGGAAAACTGCAGAATTGACGGAGACTCCATGAACGTGGCCCGTTCTGACTAAGGCATCTAGTGTTCTTACTTATGAAATAGTAGTCATGATTCCTCTTCTCGATCGCCTCGTTGCTGCTCAGGTCTGCGTTTGTCGCGAGAGCGAGAGGGACGCGCGGGTAGACATTTCGAGCTGGCCATGGCCAATACAGACAGAGTTGCGCAGCTGTCGGACTTAAATCGTTTCCACTTACCGTTCTCGATACATTAGCTCAAAACATGCTGCTCACGACTCGATAACTAAAACGCGGCTCGGCTCGGTCCGGTACTTCATTCACACGAAAGACTCGTTTCGATATTTATCATGGAGTCGTACATGGAGAAGCGGCACGCGTACCGACGGCGCTACCTGCCCTGGTACTGCCGGCCAGTGCTGCTGAGCGAGGACGACCTGGAGCTGGGGGAGATGGAGGAGGAGGAAAGGGAGGAGGAGGAGCGGCGCCGCCACGAGGAGAAGCTGCAGATGATCATGGCGGCGAAGCCCGTCAAGTGGACCACATACGCGATATTGGTTCGTGCGCTAGGAGTAGAGTTAGAGGTTGATTCGTTTGTGGTGATTAGGGTAATCCACAGCTGCAGATGATCATGGCGGCGAAGCCTGTCAAGTGGACCACATACGCGATATTGGTTCGTGCGCTAGTAGTAGTAGGTGATTTTACCCCTAGCTGTCGCAGCATCGTTTAGCTGGTAATTGGTATCGCGCTGGTCGCTGTTTTCGCCTCCCACCTCACACCTATCGCCTATCGCCCATCGCCCACCGTCCATCGCCCACCCCACCGTCTATCGCCCATCGCCCACCGTCTATCGCCCACCCCACCGTCTATCGCCACCTACGTGAGCTTCGTCTAGGGCAAAGGTCAATCTGCGGGCGCGATTCCGAGTCCTCCGTGCCACGTCACTTTACCTGCCACGCCGTTACGCGAGACCGAGCATGTCGTACTTATAGCCGTCAGTGCAGCCGGCCGCAGTCCGCAATGACCTTTAGAGCTCAATTGGCGAACAGCATGGCGCTGCCGCTTATAGCCGTTGTAACGAGGTGACTTTTGAGGCGACTATAAAATTGGCGAACGGCATGGCACGAGGTGACTTTTGAGTCGACTCAAAAGTCACCTTTTGAGTCGACTCAATAGCCGTTTTAACGAGGTGACTTTTGAGTCGACTAGAAAATTGGCGAACGCCATGTCTCTGCCGCTTATAGCCGTTGTAGGCGAGTTCGGGCGGCTCCGCTCGCGTGGTGGGTGCGTCCGTGCGGTGCGTGCGGTGGAGGGCAATTCGACAAGACTGTGATAGATCAGGTTTTGAGCCGTCTTATAACGAGTTCAAGCGAATGGCACTGCGACGCTGCCAATGTCGTAATGCCACGTGGCACCGTGTTCTCAACACGTACGACCGGGGTGATGCTAAGCCTTCTAGGGTTTCCTTCAAGCGACTCTGGTTTCCGCCATTCTAGGGTATTCAAGTAATTCTCATCTCCAATCCCCCCCCCGACCCCTTCCTTATGCGCGCAAACCCGTCCGCGCTACAGGCTGCGGCGTTTTTCGCGCTTGTGCTGCTGGCGGTGCTGTGCTGGGCGTTCATCGCCGCCATGCAGCCGTCCTCCGACTCCCTCGCCCTGCACCTGCGCTCTCAGCGACTGGACGCCGCTGCCCTCGCGGTGCTCTCCATTCAACAGGTAAGCTCCGAGGGCTCCTTACCAACTGGGTGTCGCGTATGTGCTGCTCACGTTGCTGTCGGGTGCGGTGCTGTTTGGTGTGGTGCGGTGCTGTGCTGGGCGTTCATCGCGGCCATGCAGCCGCCCTCCGACTCCCCATGCTTCCTCCGACTCCCCATGCTTCCTCCGACTCCCCATGCTTCCTCCGACTCCCCATGCTTCCTCCGACTCCCCATGCTTCCTCCGACTCCCCATGCTTCCTCCGACTCCCCATGCTTCCTCCGACTCCCCATGCTTCCTCCGACTCCCCATGCTTCCTCCGACTCCCCATGCTTCCTCCGACTCCCCATGCTTCCTCCGACTCCCCATGCTTCCTCCGACTCCCCACTCCCCCCCCCCCCCCCCCCCCCCCCCCCCCCCTCCGACTCCCCATGCTCCTCCGACTCCCCATCCCCGCTCCCCTCCTCCGACTCCCCATGCTTCCTCCGACTCCCCATGCTTCCTCCGACTCCCCATGCTTCCTCCGACTCCCCATGCTTCCTCCGACTCCCCATGCTTCCTCCGACTCCCCATGCTTCCTCCGACTCCCCATGCTTCCTCCGACTCCCCATGCTTCCTCCGCTCCGACTCCCCATGCTTCCTCCGACTCCCCATGCTTCCTCCGACTCCCCATGCTTCCTCCGACTCCCCATGCTTCCTCCGACTCCCCATGCTTCCTCCGACTCCCCATGCTTCCTCCGACTCCCCATGCTTCCTCCGACTCCCCATGCTTCCTCCGACTCCCCATGCTTCCTCCGACTCCCCATGCTTCCTCCGACTCCCCCCCCCCCCCCCCCCCCCCCCCCCCCCCATGCTTCCTCCGACTCCCCATGCTTCCTCCGACTCCCCATGCTTCCTCCGACTCCCCATGCTTCCTCCGACTCCCCATGCTTCCTCCGACTCCCCATGCTTCCTCCGACTCCCTCGCCCTGCACCTGCGCTCTCAGCGACTGGACGCCGCTGCCCTCGCGGTGCTCTCCATTCAGCAGGTGATAGCTGCACCTGGTATTTATCCTCTGACGTCCTCACCCTCCACCGATCCCTCCTCCCGCTCTCCCCTCCCACCTCTCTGATGTGTGTACGCTTGGCCGCCTTCACGCGTGGCAGTTCCACCTGCCTGACTTGTCGAATCTCTTTGTGCTGGCTGGGATCGATCTGTCCCTCTCTGCTCTGCCCCTCTCTGCTCTGCCCCTCTCTGCTCTGCCCCTCTCTGCTCTGCCCCTCTCTGCTCTGCCCCTCTCTGCTCTGTCCCTCTGCTCTGCCCCTCTGCTCTGCCCCTCTGCTCTGCCCCTCTCTGCTCTGTCCCTCTCTGCTCTGCCCCTCTGCTCTGCCCCTCTCGCAGAGGCTGCAATACGCAGCAGTGGCGCAGGCCATGGCGCTGACGTCAGCTCTGAACGCTGTGAACCGAAGCATCGCCAGCACGAGTAGACAAAGCAGCGGCGGCGGCAGCAGCGGCAGCAGCAGCGGCAGCAGCAACCTGACAAGTGTTCTAGCATATTCCCAGGAGGTGCGAGCTCCCTTTCCCCTTAGGCTTAACGTGGGCCATCCCGCCTTTCGAAACCCTAATTTTCCTCCACACAACCCCCTTCAACCCGCTCCTCCCTCCCCCTCCCCCCCTCTCTTCCCCTGGCTCCCCTCCCCACACACATCGCCCTCTTTTCTTCCCTCCCCTGGCTGCCTCCAAGGGCTTGTCGACCCCATTGGCTGCCTCCAAGGGCTTGTCGACCCCATTGGCTGCCTCCAAGGGCTTGTCGACCCCATTGTCTGCCCTCTGCACTGCAACCTCCCCTCACGTCGCTCTCTCGATTCTCCCTGCCGCTGCATTCACCCCCTCTCAGAAACCCCGTCGCCAAGATTCCCTGTGAGAGACTTTTGAGAATGATAAAAATCTTATTCAACCAGTCTCTGAAACCCCTTCCCCAACATTCTCCATCGTCCCCCCTCCCTCCGTCCCCATGCCTCCCGATCCCTCCTCCCTCCCAAGGCCCTGCTGAGTCCTGACCACCTCCTTCCAGTTCATCCGCCCTGACCCCTCTCTCCACATCGCTGCTTTCGTCGCCCTGGACGGCTCTCTCACCGGTCACCTGCGCCCCTCCCATGCTCCCCATGCCCCTTCCTTCCCCCCCGCATCCCCCCCCCCCCTCCCCCCCTCCCCCCCGCCCAACCACCCTTTTCCCCTCCGCAGGCCCTGTTGACCACCTCCTTGCACTTCATCCGCCCTGACCCCTCTCTCCACATCGCTGCTTTTGTTGCCCTGGACGGCTCTCTCACCGGTTACCTGCGCCCCTCCCAGGGGCCCTTTCACACTGACAGCAGCAGGAGCAGCGTTAGCAGCAGCAGCAGCAGCAGCAGGAGTACTAATAGTGGAAGCAGCAGTGCAAGCAGTGGCAGCAGTGACAGCAGTGCGAGTAGCAGCCTCGTTGCAGCCCCTTTGTACAGAATCCGTTCCAACCTCTCTGTCGCTCAAGCAGCTGTGATCGGGAGCAACCAAGTGGCAGGAGGTACTCCAGGTGCTCGGGGGGAGAGCCAGCCTCGTTCACAGAACCAGCCGACTCCCCAGAGTCAGCCTAGCTGGAAGAGCCAGCCTAGTGTGACCGTTTCTGACCCCACACTGACGCACACTGACTCTCTGCTTGACACCCCTCCTAGAAGGCTAACTGCCTCGTCCACCATCTCCACCGCACCCCACCACTCTGAGTTCCACAGGGCGCATGCTCGTCGTGCTGCCACCACCTTTGCTGCCTCAACGGGCAGTGGAGGCACCATCCGCAGCCAAAGCAGCACCAGCGGCACCAGCAGCACCAGCAGCACCAGCAGCACCAGCAGCACCAGCAGCAGTGCTGTTCAAGGCTCAACCAAAGCCTCAGGTCTAGGCTCGGCCCAAGCCTCAGGTCTAGGCTCGGCCCAAGCCTCAGGCCCAGGCTCAGCCATCCCATCCTCTCCTTGCACGTTGCTGCCTTACGTTCTCGAGGGATCGTTTCTAAACGGCTCCTTAGTGAATCAGTCTGTAGTGAGTACGGCCATGCTACCTGACCTGCGCGCAGTGCTGGGTTACAATTCCTCCCTCTCGTTACAAGCAGGTTCCTTTATAGACACACTCGGTTCAGTGCTCCCTGCTAAATGCCCGCCACCAGTTATACCTCCCCCACCTGACTGGCCTCTGGCCTTTCTAGCAGCGCTCTCTCCCGTTTTTTGGGGTGATGCAGCCAGCTCAGCAGGTGCCACGTCAGTGGGCGCCAGCCTGGCAGCTGTCTCCCTTGCTGACGTGGCAGCATCTTGGGCTGGCATCAGTATCAGCTGCGGCAGCAGACCAGCCAGTCAGGAAGGAACGCAGAAGCTTCCCTCGCGTCTGCTGCTTGTTTCGGCCACTGGAGGGCTTATGTTGTCCTCTTCTGGCGCAGCGGGTGGCCCAATAGCACCTGATGACGCCATTGTGACGTCAGCAATGGCTGCGTTAGGGCTAGCCAAGCCTGCTGAGTCAGCAGGTCAGGGTGCTGAGTCAGCAGCATCGCCTGTGGTGGAAGCAGCTCCAGTGAACACGTCAGCAGCAGGGTTAATCAGCATCATGAGATCGCTACAGACAAACATTGCCGGCCAGGATTACCACATTGACTCGCTTCCCCTTGTCTTCAGCACCGTCTCTAACTATGTGAGTCTACGTGCCTTCGCGTGCTCTCCCCTCCCCACCGCCGCCAAGATCGCTTCTCTCCTGCTGCTGCTGCTGCTGCTGCTGCTGCTGCTGCTGCTGCTGCTGCTGCTGCTGCTGCTCTCCCGCTCTTTCGTGAGATAATAATTGTGTTTTGAGACGTCTCAAAACATGATGAGTCGCGTCCTCTTGTTCTCAGCGCTGCCGCCATCTGAGCCTCCCTCCACACTGGGGTGTGCGTCTCCCTCCCCTTACCACCTGTCCTCCCCTCCCTCCGCCCCCCCTTCCCCTCCTTCCTCCCCTGCAGACCATCGTGTATGTGTCAGCAGTGCAGCTGTACCAGACGCCACCCGCCACGTCCACCAGGATAGCGTCCCTCGTGCTGCTGCTGCTCTCCCTCGCCGCCCTGCTCGCCTGTGCGCTGCTGCTGGCCTCCGCCGTGCGCCGGCGAAGCGGCAACATAGCGTTCCTGCAGGTTAGTGATCTGGTTGGTTGAAGTGGGGTAGTGCAAGGTTTTGAATTGGTAGAGAGGGGCGGATGGGGAAGGAGCACCCCTTGTGCTGCTGCTGCTGCTGCTGCTTCTGCTTCTGCTGCTGCTGCTTCTGCTTCTGCTGCTGCTGCGTCTGCTTCTGCTTCTGCTTCTGCTTCTGCTGCTGCTGCGTCTGCTTCTGCTTCTGCTTCTGCTGCTGCTGCTGCTGCTGCCTGCTGCGTTCCTGGACTGCGCTGGACTGCGCTGGACTGCGCTGGACTGCGCTGGACTGCGCTGGACTGCGCTGGACTGCGCTGGACTGCGCTGGACTGCGCTGGACTGCGCTGGACTGCGCTGGACTGCGCTGGACTGCGCTGGCTGGACTGCGCTGGACTGCGCTGGACTGCGCTGGACTGCGCTGGACTGCGCTGGACTGCGCTGGACTGCGCTGGACTGCGCTGGACTGCGCTGGACTGCGCTGGACTGCGCTGGACTGCGCTGGACTGCGCTGGACTGCGCTGGACTGCGCTGGACTGCGCTGGACTGCGCTGGACTGCGCTGGACTGCGCTGGACTGCGCTGGACTGCGCTGGACTGCGCTGGACTGCGCTGGACTGCGCTGGACTGCGCTGGACTGCGCTGGACTGCGCTGGACTGCGCTGGACTGCGCTGGACTGCGCTGGACTGCGCTGGACTGCGCTGGACTGCGCTGGACTGCGCTGGACTGCGCTGGACTGCGCTGGACTGCGCTGGACTGCGCTGGACTGCGCTGGACTGCGCTGGACTGCGCTGGACTGCGCTGGACTGCGCTGGACTGCGCTGGACTGCGCTGGACTGCGCTGGACTGCGCTGGACTGCGCTGGACTGCGCTGGACTGCGCTGGACTGCGCTGGACTGCGCTGGACTGCGCTGGACTGCGCTGGACTGCGCTGGACTGCGCTGGACTGCGCTGGACTGCGCTGGACTGCGCTGGACTGCGCTGGACTGCGCTGGACTGCGCTGGACTGCGCTGGACTGCGCTGGACTGCGCTGGACTGCGCTGGACTGCGCTGGACTGCGCTGGACTGCGCTGCACGGCGCGCGCTGCTGCTGGCCTCCGCCGTGCGCAGGAGAAGCGTCAAGGTCGAGAGTTGTCGGGAGGGGAAGTAGGGGATGTGCTAATCAAGGGGGGAAGAGGGGATGTGCTAATCAAGGGGGGAAGAGGGGATGTGCTAATCAAGGGGGGAAGAGGGGATGTGCTAATCAAGGGGGGAAGAGGGAATGTGCTAATCAAGGGGGGAAAAGTTGGAGAGAGAAGCAGGGAGGCGCAGCAGAGTGCCTGATCCATGTTGTCACTTGGTCGTGCTGCAGCCCACAGGCATCGTTCTGACTTGTTTGATTTCGCATGCCCTATCTCTCACATCCCCTATCTCACATGCCGCATCACACATCCCTTGTGTGATGTGACGGCAGGATGAGGTGCAGAGGCAGATGGTGCTCACCAAGAGGGCAGAAGCACGCTCTCAAACCAAGGTACTGATGAAGCTGTGAAAGTAGACGAAATTCAGGTGTGGCGTAGAGGTAGTCATGTAGCTGTAGTCATTTTCCAACTTCCGGTGCGAAGGTAGTGATGCAACGATGTAGTAACAAGTTGAACTTGCGATTTGCCGGACCACATTAGTCCCTCCTCCCGGCACTCACTAATATGCATTCTTGATCTGCAAAAATTGAATGTACATATCCAGACTGAGCATGATGGCATGTAGGTTGGCGAGCATGAGCGACGAGCTGCGCACACCATGGCTGGCTGCCATGTCCCCCACCTCCTTCCCCTCTACTACCCACATGCTCCCGTCCTCCCCTTTCCCCCAGAGCGCCTTCCTAGCAAGCATGAGCCACGAGCTGCGCACACCTATGGCCACCGCCCTCCTGGGCCCGCTGGACTGTTCTTCCCCTCTCCCCATCACTCCCCCCCCCCCCCCCCCTCTCTCTTCCCCTCTCCCCATCACTCCCCCCCCCGCCCCCCCTCTCTCTTCCCCTCTCCCCATCACTCCCCCCCCCCCCCCCCTCTCTCTTCCCCTCTCCCCATCACTCCCCCCCCCCCTCTCTCTTCCCCTCTCCCCATCACTCCCCCCCCCCCCCCCCCCCCCTCTCTCTTCCCCTCTCCCCATCACTCCCCCCCCCCCCCTCCCCCTCTCTCTTCCCCTCTCCCCATCACTCCCCCCCCCCCCCCCCCCTCTCTCTCTTCCCCTCTCCATTCTGTCCTCAGAGCGCCTTCCTAGCGAGCATGAGCCACGAGCTGCGCACGCCCATGGCAGCCATCCTGGTCCTGCTGAGCGTGGGCCGTCACTGGGGGTTCTTAGTCTCCTTCTTACCCCACCCCCCCTCCTATTCACGCCTCCCACTCTCACACCCTGCCTACACCCTTCCCCCTCACAGAGCGCCTTCCTGGCGAGCATGAGCCACGAGCTGCGCACGCCCATGGCAGCCATCCTGGGCCTGCTGGACCTTGTGCTGTGCGAGGACCTGCTGCCCGAGGTGCATGTCAACGTGCAGCAGATCAAGCTCGCCGCCACTGCGCTATTGGGCCTTCTCAACTCCATCCTCGACCTCAGCAAGGTCGGTCACCTCACCAGGGTTCGTTGCTGTGCGTTGAGGTCCTCGGAACAGCGGTGCAGTGCTCCTGCACTTGCACCTGCACCTGCACCCGGTGCTGTGCTCGTGTGCGAGGATCTGCTGCCCGAGGTGGATGTCAACGTGCAGCAGATCAAGCTCGGCTTATGCATATGTGTGTGTGCATATGTGTGCATATGTGTGCATATGTGTGCATGTGTGTGCATGTGTGTGCATGTGTGTGCATATGTGTGCATGTGTGTGCATGTGTGTGCATGTGTGTGCATATGTGTGCATATGTGTGCATATGTGTGCATAGGTGTGCATATGTGTGCATATGTGTGCATATGTGCATGTGTGTGTGCATGTGTGTGTGTGTGCGCCATGTGTGGCTGGCAGGTGGAGGCGGGGAAGCTAGTGTTGGAGTGTGTCGACTTTGACATCCGGAAAGACCTCGAGCTCATTGTGGAGATATTTTCCGTGCAGGTGAGAGATTTTCCGTGCAAATGAAATATTTCTGGGCAGGTGAGGTATTCTTCATGTTCATGAGTCATCAAAACAAAAGATGTGCAGGTTGAGAATATATCTGAAGGTGAAGTAACAGGTTGAGTGCCCCATTCCCCCTCCCTCCTACCCACCCCACCCCCTCGCCCATTCCTCCCTTTCCTCAGGCCCTAACCAAGGGCACGGAGATCTCTCTTGACCTGCCGGACAATCTAACTCGCATGGTGAAGGGCGACCCCCACAGGGTGCGGCAGGTGGTCAACAACCTGCTGTTCAACCCCATCAAGCTCACTCCGCCCTTGCCTCCCTCCCCACTTCCCCTGTCATGCGCGTGTGCCATCAGGCTCTAACTAAAGGCACGGAGATCTCTCTCGATCTACCAGACGATCTAACTCGCATGGTGAAGGGCGACCCCCACCGCGTGCGGCAGGTGTTCAACAACCTGCTCTCCAACTCCATAAAATTCACCCCCAAGGGGCACATTGTCATCCGCGGGTGGAACAAGCACGCCCCCGGGGGCCAGCACGGGCAGCACGGGCAGCCGAGAGGCGCCCATGGCCACATGCTCGGGGCGCTGGAGGCAGGGGGGGGGTCAGGGTCGGGGGGAGGGGCGAGGTGGGGGGAAGGGGAAGGGGCGGCGTTGAAGGGCGGGGGGTCTGGGGCCCTGGAGGGGAGCCAGCACGGTGGGAAGGAGGGGGCGGGGAGGGAGGGGGGCGAGAAGGAGAGGTCGAAGGTGGAGCTGGTGTTTGAGCTGGAGGACACGGGGTGCGGCGTGCCCAAGGAGAAGCGGGAGACCATCTTCGAGACGTACGGCCAGGCGGACCAGGCGCACGGGCGGATAGGCACTGGGCTGGGGCTCGCCATTGTGCGATCGCTGGTGAGCATTGGTGCTGAGGGCTTGGGCATGGTACAGTGGGCTCAGTGGGGTGATCTGGGTGGGTGGGGTGAGGTGTGGTGTGGTGTGGTGTGGTGTGGTGTGGTGTGGTGTGGTGTGGTGTGGTGTGGTGTGAGTCGTACGGCCAGGCGGACCAGGTGCACGAGCGCACAGGCGCTGAACTGGGTATTATTGTGCGATAGCTGGTGAGTGCTAGTGCACTCAATGCTGCACGGTGGGCTGCCCCTCCTGATGCTCTCTCACTGGGCAAGCAGGAGACAGAGAGGGGGGGGCGGCCAGGCGGACCAGGCACACGGGGCGGGTAGGCACTGGGCTGGCTGGCCTGGGGCTGGCGATCGTGCAATTGCTGGCGCCCAACGGAGTGTGGCTTTTGAGGCGCCTCAAAAGACGGAGTGTGGGGGGGATGGGGTCCGTCTGGGGCGTTCACTAGATGGATGGATACCAAGCTAGCCATAGTCACCACACCAAGCCCACCACCCCCAGCCTACTCTGAGTCGAACCCTCCCTCCCTCCTATCCCCCCCCCCTTCCTCTCTCAGGTGGAGATGATGGGAGGGACGATATCAGTCGTGGTCAAGCCTACCCCCGGCCCTGGCACGCTCTTCTGTCTCAACCGGTCTAACCCCCTCCCTCCGTGCCTCCTTCCCTGTACCATCTCTCAGGTGGAAATGATGGGTGGCAAAATCGCTGTAGTAGACAAGCCCATCCCCAGCCCCGGCACGCTCTTCCGCTTCAACCTGTCGCTCGACCCAGCAGCCAGCAACCCCAGTGCGGAGCAGGAGCACGAGAAGGAGAGCTGGCGCCTGGAGGCGCCCCTCATGAGGGCGCTGTGGGATGGGGACGTGCTGCTGGTGATGGAGGGGTGCCCGGGGAGAGAGGTGGCGGGGAAGTGGCTCAGGCAGAGGGGGCTCACGGTGGAGGAGGTGGGGGCGTGGGAGGAGATGGTGGATCGGATACGACAGGTGAGTCGGTTTTGGACATACCTAATAAGGGTGTTGCTGAGAGTGTGTGTGCAGGGAGTGTTGATGTGCGTGGTGTCATCTTGTGGCTGCGGCAGAGGGGGCTCACAGTGGAGGAGGAGGGGGCGGGGGAGGAGATGGTGGGGCGGATACGGCAGGTGGGTGCCTGCTTTGAAACGCGTTCTGGGGTGGGTGTTGCTGCTAGTGTGCTTGCCTGGTCTGTGTGTGCATTGTGAGCATGCTTTGTGTGAGGAAGAGAGGGCTCACAGTGGAGGAGGTGGGGGCGGGGGAGGAGATGGTGGAGCGGATACGGCAGGTGGGTGCCTGCTTTGAAACGTATAGTGGCGTGGGTTTTGCTGAGTGGGATTATGTGCGCATGTGGTAATAGATAGAGCAGAGAGGGCTCACGGTGGAGGAGGTGGTGGATTGGATACGGCAGGTGGGTGGTTTCATCAAACAGACAGCTGGGGGGTTGGGTGTGGGTGTGGGTGTGGGTGTGGATGTAAGTGTGGTTGAATGTGAGTGTGGGTGTGGTGGGTATGGGTGTGAGTGTGCGATCATGCTGACGACGAGCTTGCAATGGATTCTCTGTCATTCTCCCACCCCCCCCCTCCTCTCGCAAGTGGCAGCAGCAGCAGAGGAGAAGGCCCGGGCAACAGAGGCAGCGTACAAGCGCATGAGAATGGAGAACCGATTCCTGCTCCTGCCATCCCGTATGGCCCTACGGGCCATGCCTCGCCCTCCCCTCTTCCCATGCTCCATCCCCCTTCTTTCGCCCTTCGCTCCTCTCTTCCCCATCCTCCCTCCCTCCCCCTGCAACCACAGGTAGCAACAGCAGCAGAGGAGAAGGCACGGGCAACTGAAGCAGCGTACGAGCGCATGAGAATGGACGGCCAGTTCCCGCTCCTGCCGTCCCCCATGCCAGACCCTCCTCTCCTCTCCTCTCTCCCTCCAACCTTTCTTGAGAAACGACCACCACTTTTGCTCCTTCCCCCTTCTTTCGCCCTCTCCCCTCGCCCCCCCTCCACTTTCGCAGGTGGCAACAGCAGCAGAGGAGAAGGCTCGGGCAACCGAGGCAGCATACGAGCGCATGAGAATGGACGACCAGTTCCTGCTCCTGCCATCCTCCCTTGGCGGCGCTAACCCCACCTCCTCCGCCACTCAACCTCTAAGCACGGCAGATGCCTTTGCTGCTCTGCAAAGGTTTGGAGAACCGCCAGGGGGGGCAGGAGGAGGTCTGGGTGCTGTAGGCTCGGGAGATGCAGGGAAGGAAGGTTCGGGGCTAGGTTCAGCAGCGCCATGGCCGAGGGTCGGGGGAATGGGGGCAGGGGGAGGGGGCGGGGGAGGGTTGGGGGGGCTGCGCAGGCAAACCAGCCTGGGGGTAGCGCTTGGGGGAGGGGGAGGGTTGGGGGGAGGCGGAGGGCTGGTGGGGGGAGGAGGAGGAGGACTTATGGGGGGAGGAGGGGGAGGGCTGATGGGGGGGGGAGGGGTGGATCTGGAGAGTTTCAAGAAGGGGATCCTGTCTCTGGGGCTTAGAGAGGCGGGGGGGAGTGCTGGGTCGCTGCTGTCGGCAGGTAGTGGGGGAGGTGGAGGTGGGGGAGGGGGAGCAGCAGGAGGAGGAGGGGGAGCGGGAGGAGGGGTGAGTAATGGTGGGGTGAATGGGTTGGCAAGCGAGATATCAAGGGATGGGGATGAAGCAGGGGAGAAGATAGCTGGAGTGGCAGCAGCAGGAGGGGCGGCAGGAGCGGCAGGAGCGGCAGGAGCAGCAGGAGCAGCAGGAGCGGCAGCAGGAGGGGAGAAGGGTGGCATTCGCAGTGCGGGCAACTCGCCCTTGCGACTGGGGCGCATAGGCAGTGTGAACAGTGGGCACAGGAGGCAGAGCAGCCTGGAGAGAATAGGAGCCCTCTTTGGTGGAGCAGGCGCAGGGGCAGGGGTAGAAGCAGGGGGGGGAGGGCTGGGCGGATGGGAGGCACCAGGCAAGAGCGGTCTAGCAAAGGAAGGGATGGGGGATGGAGCAGGGGGAGGGGCGGTAGTAGGAGGGGAAGGAGGGGGAGGAGGAGGAGCAGAGGGCGTGAAGGGCTTGGGACCAGGAGGTGGGGCGAGAGGAGGGTTGGAGCGAACAGTGAGCCTGCAGACAGAGAAGAAAGGCGGAGGCGGGGGAGGGGGAGGAGGGGGAGGGGGAGGAGGGGGCGTGGGGGGGGGGTTATGGAAACAGGGAAGCCTCACCCTGGGGAAGGTGTTTGGGGGGAGGGACAGGCGGGGGAGCGGGGGTAGTGACGCTGGGTCGGGCGCTGGAGGAGGAGGAGGGGGCGGCATGGGGAGCAGCGGCGGCAGCGGCAGCAGCAGCAGCACCAGCGTTTGGCGGCAGAACAGTGTAGAAGGGCTGTTTTCGAATGCGTTTGTGCGTACCGATAGGAAAGGCAGCGGGTTTTCGAGCGTGAGCAGCGACGGCGAGAAGGCTTGTATGGAGGATAACAATAACAGTAACCATGCTAAGAAACAGGCTGCAGTAGCGTTGGTTATAGTGGATACTAGCATGCTTCCGGGACTGACGTTACCGCTACCGTCGGACAACAAGCAGCCTGGGGACTGGTCGGCGCAGAACCCGCCGCCCCTCCCGTCATCGGCTGCTGCTGCTGCAGCTGCCACGGCCGCGTCAGCAGCAGCAGGTCAGGCAGAGGCGCTTGGCACTGCTGCTGCAGCAACGGCAGTGGCAGGAGGAGGGGGAGGGGCAGGGGGAGCATGTTCAGCAGCAGGGGGAGCAGGAGCAGGAGGTGGGGCAGGAGGGAGAGGAGGATCGGGAGGAGGGGGAGCAGGGGCAGCAGGGGCAGGAGGAGAGGCGGATCTAGGCCCGTTAAACGAGCTCTTGGCTTTGCTAGACATATGCAGGGCGGGAGGGGGCAACAGCTCGCTGCCTGTCATGTGGTTGGTAGCCGCCAACACGCCTGCGTCTGTGCGCGAGAGGTTGAGAGCGGCTGGGTGCGATACTATTGTGTCGAAGCCCCTGCACCCCACTAGGATGGAGCAGTTACTTAACTTGGCCATGGATATTAAGTACGGGATAGGGGGGACTGCTGGCGAGGGGGTGGGTGGGGAGGGGGGGGAGACGGTGGGGAGGAGGGGAGGATGGGGAGGGTGAGGAGGATGGTGGGGGTAGCGGGGGAGGAGGAGGGGTGTGGGGAGTGTTGGAGGAGGGGGGGAAGGAGAGGGGGAGGGAGAGAGGGAGGGAGAAGGGAGGAGGAGGAGGGAAGGAGGGGAAGGGGCACAAGAGCGTGAATCTGAGGATCCAGAGGTGCTTGAGTGCGGTGGATGAGGAACTCAGTAACGCGGATGAGATGAGCAATGGGGATGACTCGTGCCTGTCCACGCCTGCTGCGTCGTCAGAGTTTGACCTCACCACTCCCAGGTCTGGTGATGGCGCGTGTGAAGGCAGGGAGAGAAGGGATGGGAGGGAGGGTAGGGAGAGGAGAGAAGGGCGGGAAGGGAGAGAAGGGAGGGCAGAGAGGGACGGGAGGGAGGAGAGAGGAGGGAGGGAAGGACGAGATAGTAGAGATGGGAGAGAAGGGAGAGATGGGGGAGACGGGAGGGACAGGCCAAGCGGTGGCGATGGTGATAGTGATAATGGTGAGGGGGCAGGAGGAGAAAGAGGAGAAAGAGGGGAGAGAGGGGAGAGAGGGGAGAGAGGGGAGAGAGGGGAGAGAGGGGAGAGAGGGGAGAGAGGGGAGAGAGGGGGGAGAGGAGAAAGGAGAGAAAGAGGGGAGAGGGTGGATGGTCGGTACCGTACGAGAAGGCGGCCGGATGGCTCCGATTCTTGGCGTGGCAGCACTAGTAGTGCTGGCAGCGGGGAGGACGATGGGTCTGGTGAGGGGGGAGGAGTAGGGGCAGGAGGGTCCATCACCCCGCGCACACCCCGAACGCTGCAGAACCTTCTCCTGCCCTTCCCTCGCTCCGAGTCCCGCAGCTCCCTAGATGACAACAAGGGGGGCACTTCTGCCCCTACTCCCCCTCCGGACGGCCACAGAGGGGCCACTCAAGACGGCCACCCCCTACGGCGCGGCTCTTTCCGGAACGACCCTGCTGCCTCGCTCACCTCCCCCCGCTCCCCCTCCTCGCTTTCCTCGGCCTCTTCCTCCTCTATGGATCGCTCCACCAGCGGGCGGCTCCTGCCTGCCATTGATTCGCTCTTCTCCCCTCGCAAGCACGTTCACTCGCAATCACACTCACACTCTCAATCGCACTCTCACTTGCAATCGCATCGCGCCTCTTCTTCGTCCACTCGTGCCAAGCGCAGCGGCAGCGGCAACAGAAGCCGGGACAGGGGTGGAGGGGGTGCAAGTGCGTCGGGTGCATCGTCCCACCAAAAGGCAGTGCTGGGGCCCCCGTCGGCACTGGCAGGTGAGTGGGAGCGTGTGGTGGTCTGTGTGGAAATGTGTGAGAGAGAATGTGTGTGAAAGTGTGTGTGTGAGAATGTGTGTGTGAGAGAGTGGCAGATCAAAAGGCAGTGCTGGGGCCCCCGTCGGCACTGGCAGGTGAGCAGGAGCACTTGCATGTGTGCTTGTCGGTGTGCACGCTTACGCATCGACAGTTGTGGACGGGTGTACCTTGTACGCGTTGTGCGTGTGTGTGTGGTACGGGGGCTCAGCAGGCAGTTCTGGGAGTCTATTTTTGAGGCGCCTAGAAAATAGACTCCTCAGTTGTGGACGGGAGTACCTTGCACACATTGTGCGTGCATGTGTGGGTACGGCAGCTCAGCAGCCAGTCCTGGGCCCACCGTCGGCACTGGCAGGTGAGCGGCAGTCGTCTTTTGAGGCATCCCGATTATAGAAGCAGGGGTAGGAGCGGAGGGGTGCCAGTGCGTGGGGTGCGTCGTCCCATCGAAAGGCAGTGTTGCCCCCCCCCCCCCATCGGCACTGGCATGTGGGTATGAGTGGCGGGTGAGAGTGAGTATGGTTGGTGGGATTCACTCTGTGTACGTGCCTTTGGGAGTGCTAACGCACAACTCATTAGCCATAGAGGGGAAAGTGGCAGAACGTTCCTTGTGTGCGTGAGGACACATTCTCCTAGACCACCTCAAGGCCCCGTTTTCTGCCCTCCTGTCCCTCCCTTCCTCACTCCCCTTACCCGGCCGCTTGATCCTTGCTGTTCCTTCCGCCAGGTGTGCACATCTTATTGGCGGAGGACGTGGCGATGCTGCAGCGCGTGGCGGTGCTGATGCTGAAGAAGATGGGTGCGACGGTGGTGGCGGTGAGCAACGGGCAGGAGGCGGTGGATGCGGTCACGCGGCAGATGCGAGGGGGAGAAGGAGGGGATGCTGCACAAGGGGAGGCGTTTGACCTCGTGCTCATGGACTGCCAGGTGAGCGGTTATGCTGTGACGCATGGCAGGTGAGTGGTTATGCTGTGACGCATGGCAGGTGAGTGGTTATGCTGTGACGCATGGCAGGTGAGCGACTGACAGGTATGTGGTGGCGGTGAGCAATGGGCAGGAGGCGGTGGATGCGGTCACGCGGCAGATGCAAGCGAATGGTGCTGAAGGTGCTTTTGAGGCGCCTCTAAAGCACTCTCAGATGCAAGCGGATGGTGCTGAAGGTGCTTTTGAGGCGCTTCTAAAGCACTCTCAGATGCAAGCGGATGGTGCTGAAGGTGCTTGCCTCTAAAGCACTCGGATGGTGCTGAAGGTGCTTTTGAGGCGCCTCTAAAGCACTCTCAGATGCAAGCGGATGGTGCTGAAGGTGCTTTTGAGGTGCTTCTAAAGTACTCTCAGATGCAAGCAGATGGTGCGGAAGGTCCTTTTGAGGTGCTTCTAAAGCACTCTCAGATGCAAGCGGATGGTGCTGAAGGTGCTTTTGAGGCGCCTCTAAAGCACTCTCAGATGCAAGCGGATGGTGCTGAAGGTGCTTTTGAGGCGCCTCTAAAGCACTCTCAGATGCAAGCGGATGGTGCTGAAGGTGCTTTTGAGGCGCCTCTAAAGCACTCTCAGATGCAAGCGGATGGTGCTGAAGGTGCTTTTGAGGCGCTTCTAAAGCACTCTCAGATGCAAGCGGATGGTCCTGAAGGTGCTTGCCTCTAAAGCACTCGGATGGTGCTGAAGGTGCTTTTGAGGCGCCTCTAAAGCACTCTCAGATGCAAGCGGATGGTGCGGAAGGTGCTTTTGAGGTGCTTCTAAAGCACTCTCAGATGCAAGCGGATGGTGCTGAAGGTGCTTTTGAGGCGCCTCTAAAGCACTCTCAGATGCAAGCGGATGGTGCTGAAGGTGCTTTTGACGCGCCTCTAAAGCACTCTCAGATGCAAGCGGATGGTGCGGAAGGGGCTTTTGAGGCGCTTCTAAAGCACTCTCAGATGCAAGCGGATGGTGCTGAAGGTGCTTTTGAGGCGCCTCTAAAGCACTCTCAGATGCAAGCGGATGGTGCGGAAGGTGCTTTTGAGGCGCTTCTAAAGCACTCTCAGATGCAAGCGGATGGTGCTGAAGGTGCTTTTGAGGCGCCTCTAAAGCACTCTCAGATGCAAGCGGATGGTGCTGAAGGTGCTTTTGACGCATTTGACCTCGTTCTTATGGACTGCCAGGTGAGCGCTTTGGATGTGGTGGCGTGGCGGGTGGGTGGGTGTGTTTGTTGTGGTGGCGGTGAGCGACGGGCAGGAGGCACTGGATGCTGTCCTGTCACAAGGCAGATGCGTCCTTCTCATCCCCTGTTCCTCCCGCTGCTCCAAGTGTCGCTTCTCACAATTCCCTGCGTCTCCTTCCCCTCTCGCTCTCGTCCTTCCCTTCCCTTCCCTTCCCTTCCCTTCCCTTCCCTTCCCTTCCCCTCCCTTCCCACACCCATCTCCTTCCGCCCCAGATGCCCATAGTGGACAGATGCGCAGCAACCCGGGCAATCAGAGAAGCAGAAAGATGCCGCAGCATGCCCACGCACATACCAGTGGTGGCACTGACAGCCAACGCCATGGAGGGGGACCACCACAAGTGCTGTTGGGGCTCACACCTCCCTTGTGGTCTCTTTCCGCACACCCACCCCCCTCCCACCCCAGATGCCTCTACTGGACGGCTATGCAGCAACGAGGGCGATTAGGGAAGCAGAGCGGGGCAGCAGCCCACCAGTGCACATCCCAGTAGTGGCGCTGACCGCCAACGCCATGGCGGGGGACCACCACAAGTGCCTTGATGCGGGCATGGATGGTTACCTCACCAAGCCCATAGACAGCAAGCTTCTTACGGAAACAGTGAAGAAGCTCTTAGGGGATCGCAAGAAGCGCAAGTGAGCGTACACGAGGAGTGAGGAGAGTGTACGGGGGATGTGCTCCTTGTGTGTAAGGTATGGGGGGGGGGGGGGGTGTATATGCATGCGCTCATCTGCATAGAGATATTGGGTGGATGTGCGCATGGCAGAGGGATGGTTGCTCCTCCACATTGGGGCATGTGGAACGTTCAAATTCAACAGCCTGATCCACTAGTGAAGGCCTTGGTTGGTACGTACATTCCTCAATTGATTTAGACTTTATGTGACCTCTTACTAGGGATTGCTATGAATCTAACGTAGCTTGTATCGTATCTGTATCTTCACATAGTACAGCCTTTGAAGTTTGACGCCTCCCTCTGGCTTTACGTTTGGTTGGCCTGTGCAATCTACAAGCGGATTTTATAGCTGGGCAAACAGCAAAAGAGAAACAAAACATAGTTACCTATTTTACTATGAAACGAAACAAATGAGTTTCAGGAATGGAAACCACTGGCTAGAAGGGAAAGGTAAACCCTAGACTCAGCGAGTTTCCAAGTATACGCTTGCACCACTGGTGCCCACTTCAAGGCCAGCGCAGTGGCCTGAAGCCGCCTGAAGCCCCCTCTCTGCCACCTGCACCCTCACTGCTTCACCCTCACAAACCGATCCTCAGCCAATCGGGACCCGCCACTTGGCGTAGCTGCTGGCCGCTTCTTCCCGTTCTTCATTGACGGAAACCGCCACAGTCCGGCACCTGGCGAAAACCCCTTTGGGGTCGCGAACGGGTAACCACTCTTAGGCGTAACACCCCTGGGGGTGAACCCTATAGAGGTGAATGCCCGAGGCGTGAAACCCTTACCAGGCGTGAGCCCCCTAGGAGTAAAAGCGCTGAACATGTCAGAAATCATGTCTATAAATCCACCGTCCTCCTTAGGCGATCCCCTCTTCTGGCTCCCTTTACCCTCTCCTTGAATCCCGGCTCCCGCTTTTTCCGCAGATTTCCCATCTCCAGGCGAACCGCCTTCGGATCCGACACGTGGCGTGACAATATCGGCCGAATCCAGAACCTTGTGCATCCACGTGTAGCCATATCGTTGGCTGGGATGCTCCGGAACATTGATAGTCACGTCATCATGCCCGTGCGGGTGCATTGGCTGCTCCATCTCTACCGCAGCAAAGCTAGAACCGTATGCTGACGTGGAAACAGCAGCAGCCGACGCGACGCCAGGCGTGCCGGCACATGCGGCGCCACTCGCGGCGGCGGACGAAAACTGGGAGTTGCCAGCAATTTCCAGGGTTCCTGTCACCGCCGGATGACACGGAGAGTGAGCCATGGCGATGTTCTCATATCTCACCGCCGATAGCGTCCCATTCCCGAAGTCTTTATTACTAATAATAGTAGCGTTGTAGGTACCAGCGATGTCCGTGTTACTGCCGTGGTGCGACTGAAACCCGCCGAATCGCCCGCTCTCGTCCCCCTCTGTCGCGCTCCCGCCGCTCCCCGAGTCGAAACTTCCCGGATTCTCCACCGAGGAGTCGACGAACGTCTCCGTTACAAGCTGCATCGACACAGTCGCGTCGTCGCTTCCGAATCTGCGGGACTGCTCCCCGTCGTCGATCAGGATCGAGTCCATCATCGTGTTTAGCAGCATGCGATCCTCGTCATTAGCACACCCGTTAGTATCACCACTGGCAGTACCATTATCCTCCTCGTCCTTCGCAAGCAGAAGATCGACGAACAGCTCGCCCTTGTCGCCACCACCCATCGCTACAGCAGAAGCCGCGCCGGTTACATTCACCTGCTCCGCTTGAATCACACTGGTAACAGCATCGCAATCCTCCGCCACGGTCTGTTCCTTCGCCATAGCCACATGATTCGCGAATCCCCCGAGCGTCAGCGACGGCGCGGGCGACATCGGTCGTGAGACAGTCGCGGCGCTCATATTTGGCGAGGCCGGCGCGAATGACGCCGGGATTTGCGGCGCGTTCGGCGGCGGAGCGGCGTTACCCTTGATGAAGACACGGCACAGCACCAACGCCGTGAGGTCGCTCCCCGGCGATTCGCCCTCCAAGCGATACTCGTCCATAATCCAATCCGTCTTGGACCCCTTATGGTCGCTCGGTCCGGATTTCATATAGTAGACTAATTTCTTCTTCATTCCCGTGACGCTGCCGTCAGAAGTGGCCTTCTGCGACGCGTTGCCGCTGCCGCTGTTGCTCTTACTCCCCCCGAGTCGCACCGCGTGGTCGTTCCCCGTGGATTTCCAGAATCCGACGACCGTGTCGCCGCATTTCACGGAGCGTTCTTTCTTGGAGCCGTGCTGCGTCGGCCGGTAGAAGAAGAACCACTCGCCGTCGAACCACGCATCGGCCGGCAGGCTGCTCGGATCGCACCGTAGAACGTTCACCTCGGGCAGCTGCACGAGTGGTCGGGCAGCGTAAGCCTGCCCGGATGTGCGGTTTAAGAGGTAGGAGAAAACGAGCTCTTCTTCTGACGGTCGAAAGCGGTAGCCGACTGGGAGGGTATGCAACAGCGGTGATGCCGCCATGCTTATACCGAGCGTCGCGAAATGTCTATATTTGTTGAGGCCCCCTTCACACTCGACACTACGACACTCAAACGACACTAGACACTAGAACGTGACTAGACACCACGACACTAGAACGCTTATAGCGTTGCTTTGGGGAGACAGAACCTCTTTCAAGAAGGAAAGTCGCAACTCGCGAGGATCAAAGACTTGACGATGAGCGCGGAGGCGTCGACTTTGGTACGCGTGAACAAGTGATGCCACCGCGTTGTTCCTACTTCAATGTGAGGGAGAGGCGAGGACAGTCAGGCTGTCAAAATATCCAGGGAACGGTTGTGCCTGCTGCTACAGCAGGTCCTATCTCAGCAGCACAATTATCTCCTTCAGCAGTTGAGCAGCAGCAGCAGCAAAGAACCAACCAAACCCCTACCAGACCAGCGCAACACTAGCAGCTCCTAGCCAGCGCCTTGGTCCGAAAAAACGAACCTGACCACAGGAGGGAGGAGGGAGGTGGTGTGAAGTGAGGTGAACGGAAGCTGCGAGCAGGCAGGGTGCAGGCGGACTGCGGGGTGAAACTCCGCAATTGCGCACTAAATTGCGGGGTGAACTTCCTTCCTAGGGCTGGGTGAGGTGAGGTTGCGCATGCTGGGGGGGGGAACGGGGAGGGAGGGATGAAGGGGGAGGGGGGAGAGGATGTTGCTCTGGGGCAGGGCCTGAGCTAGGTTTTTTGCTAGCTCGGACGATTTGGGCCCATCTGAAAAAACCCCTGTAAAACCCGAGCCGAGCCTAAAATTGCTCGGATGAATCAGGGTCCGAGCCGAAAAAGGCCTGAGCACCACCAATTATTGCGGGGTGGGAAAAATGTGCCCACTCCAATACTTCGGTTGGGCAATCGGGTTTGGCCTCCCTCCTGCAGCGCCACGGCCGAGGGGATGAGGGGGGAGGGGATCACCCACCACCCAAGACGGTGACTCAATCTGTAAGTGATACAGAATACAGGTCATATCCGAGAGGTGCAACGACAATAAGCGCAAGTATTCGCGAATCTAGGGTAAACCACGGGCAAATTATTCGCTTAATGCGCTAAAAATGCTTAGCGGAATTTGCTATGTTCGATTATGACCCCGGCTTCCAGCAAGGCGGCTCCCGAATGTACCGGGCTTAGAGAGGTGTGGGGCGAGATTTGGGGGGGGGGGGGGGGGGGAAATTGGGGAGCGCGTCGAGTTTGGGCGGGGGCAAAAGTTGAGGCCAGAAAAAAAAGGGGTTTGGAAGTGTTTGGAGGGGGAGTTTGAGGAAGGGGGGGGGGGGGGGGGTTGGCGGGGAAAGGGAGGGGGGAGGGGGGGGAGGTTTGGAGAAGGGAAAAGGTCCGGGTTTCCCTGTAATTCCCCCAGATATGTACGGGTCCCACAGAATTTTGCCCTGTATAATTCCGGGCTGGCTGGGGGAAAGCCTATGTGAAATACGGGCTACGATAAAAAACACCTTGAATTTTCAGTCAAGACAGGGTGATAGCCCTGTTATTTTCAGCCCTGCTCTGGGGTGAAGGACAAGATTCATTGACTTGCCGAGCCGAGAACCATCAACAGAAGCAGCCAAACGTCACAGTTGGTGCCCTTTAACTGGTTGAAATGTCTCCCGAGCCGAAGCCGCCAAGTTAGATAGGGACCGAGCCACATCGAAAGGTTATGGACCCAAGCAGCTGTCACTTTCATACTGCACTGTAACAAGGTTTGCGGAACAGCCATGGCGAAATGAGTGTGGGCTGTTGAATGAGGAGCCAGCCTGGCCCTGGGGTGCCTCGGACGGAACTGCCCAGCCCAACCGTCGCACACCAGTAACGGGCACCACACGCATGGACCCTGACAGGACTAGCACTGTAGTTCAGGGGCTTTATAGACTACACTGGTTATTTAGGCTGTCCCTGATTTCCCAATGGCGTTTCAAAAATGTACACTCCAACTGAGTAGATTCTCCTAATTGTGGGTTGTGCTTCTCATGGGCTGGGGGGAATGGCCCCTAGATGGGGAGATGAAGCAGTAGCAGAAATACCGATTTTGCGAGTGGAGTGGAGGCGGCACCTGTAATACTGTTGAGGTACAATGCGATATCTGCGAAGGGTAATTATTATCTTCGGACAATGTGTTGATGATATTCAACGAGCACTCGGCCCAACCTCCAGCAGACCATTCCGGACGAAGTCGACCACACATTTCTATGGTTCTTGTTTGTACGGAACTGTAGAAAAGAGCTGACACGGGATGAAAGAAATCAAATGGACCAATTCCAGGTGGGGAAATGCGAGGAAGCCGAGGCGCACTCCCAGTCTCCGTTGGCGGCATGGGAAAGAATCACGGCGACTCGCGGTGAAGTCCACACTGTGCAGTGCACTAAATGCCCTGCGCTATTTACACTCCAAAAGAAATCATAGAAGGGCTGCTGTACACTGATCCCTATTTGCGCCTAAATCTCCTTAAAAAACTGACCCCGCATGCTGGTAGTGTACATCCCAAAGAGGCTCCTTGTACGATAATTATATGTCCTTAGCAAATCATCGCTAACACCGCGTACATCCCTGGACTTTGGAGGTCCACACTCGGCCCAACCACCAAGGTATCTAATTACGTTCGAGACCCACACGTGGAGTCGCGTCCGACACTTCCGAGCCTCGAGGAGCCCGCGAGGTTTTTGTGACCAATTAAAGTATACAAAGCTACCCTTTATGTATTCTTGATATTATACGTAGACTGTACTAGTAGCACGTGTTGGGCTGAGAAAAAGCCCTTAGGATCTTTCCAGAGACTAAGTCCCAGTTGTAAAATGAGACTTGAGTAGTGCAGCGGAAGTTGAGTAGTTGAACCCTTGTACTAGTATATGAGAACAAGTGATTGATTAAAGGAAACAAGCATAGAGCAATATATAGAAAGTAGGAAGGTAAAGTAGTTGTAGAATATAGTTGATGGAACGGTTATCGAGTCGCACAGCGACTCGATGGTCGATTCGGTTACCACTCTTGCAGTTGTAACGGTCAGTCGCAACCTCCGGTTGCGACCCTTCGAGTCTTTCGTCCTTTCGTGTTCTTTCGTCCAACCTCAACCTGTAACCTCCGTTGACTCGCATACTCGATACGGCTTCTCTCAAGTGTGGTGCTACACTTCAGAAACGCTTAAGTCCTTGAGGTATTTCCAACACTCCCCTTCGTTTCTGGAGTGCTGACGTGTTCAGATCCGGTGACGTTTGTCTGCCCGGTCAGCAGCATGCAGTAATCGAACTTTGCCTTCGCCAGTTTCTTCGTCAGGTAGTCTGCGGCCATTTCTGTTGTAGGGCAGTAATTGAATTGAAGTCTTCCCTTCGCGATTTCATCTTTGACGAAAAAGTACCGCATGGCGATGTGCTTGGTTCGGTTGGCGAAGCCGTCATTGTTCGCGATTTTGATCGCAGACTGGTTGTCGCAGAGGAGTGAGAAGACGGGCAGGGTCGCAATCTTCGCTTCCTCGAGCAACTCTCGCAGGTAAAGTCCTTCCTTGGTCGCAGTGCAGAGGGCGATATATTCTGCTTCAGCTGAAGATAGTGCGATTAGTTCCTGTTTGCTCGACTGCCAGGAGATAGTCCCGATAGGCTCTAGTCGGTAGATGTAGCCCGTCCTTGAGAGTCGATTTTCCCTGTCTCCCGCGTGGTCGGCGTCGACGTATCCGAGTAGTTGTACGGACAATATCGTTGCTTTATTGTAGGTAAGTCCGGTCGTCGGGGTAGAGACGAAGTAGAGTAGTGCCCGATTTAGTTCCTCGAGATCTTCTTGTTCCGGATGCTTCAGATGCGTCGCCAGTTGGCTCGCGCTGTAAGATAGGTCCGGTCGGCAAGTGACTGCTGCGAATAGTAGGCAGCCGAGCTTCTGCTGATACTCCTGGATTTGCTTCGCGGGGAGTTTTGCGGAGGTGTCGTTGTTGTTCCCGTAGCGGTAGGGAGTCGCGACTGTAGTTGGTGTTAGTCCGAACTTCTTTGCGACGACGCCTGCGTATTTTCCAGCATATAAGTAGAACGCCGAGTTGTCTTTGACGACGTTCAGATTTAGGTATTGGGTTATGGTGTCTGACACCGTGAGTGTCAAGTCCCTTTTCAGCTCCCCTTCGAACCAGGTGGCGATGTCAGTAATGGAGCCGATGTAGAGCAGGTCGTCGACGTAGATGATGAGTAGGATAAATTCCCTTTCCTTCTGTAGTCGGTACATGCCTTGGTCGTGCGGCAGCTGTAGGAATCCGATTCTGACGAGGCGATCGTGAAGATGCTGCTGCCAAAGCCGCGGGGCTTGCTTGATCCCGTAAAGGGATTTTATCTGCTGGCATACTTTTGTGGGGTCGTCGATGAATCCGTGGGGCTGCTCGACGAAGATCTCGGCGTCCACAGGTGCGTACAGGAAAGCATTTGCGACGTCGATCTGGCGAAGTGGTAGTTTCTTCGTGGCCGCGACGGCGAGTAGGATGCGCAAGGAGGTGTGACGGGAGACTGGGGCGAATGTTTCTGTGTGGTCGGTTCCGTATCGTTGATCGAATCCTCGTACGACCCAGCGAGCTTTGAATCGTTCGATGGAGCCATCCGCATTGGTCTTGATGCGGTACACCCACTTTCTCGAGAGAATGTTCTTCCCGTTGATGTTCGTTGCAGGTACCAGCTTCCATGTATTTCGGTCTTGCAGAGCTTTCACTTCCCTTTCCATTGCTTCCTTCCATTTCGCCTTGTGTTCCCCCCCCAGAGCCTGCGACAGGGTCGTTGGCTCGTGCGGAGATGGCGGCGGCGGATGCTGGACGGAGACCCATAAGCCGAGTATCTGCAGTCCCGTTGGTGTGTGTCGAGGGGAATTTTCATTCCCCGAATAGGCTGCTTCTGGATCAGGTAAGAAGTTTGGGCCGATGCGTTATGAGACATTTGTGTCGACCGGGTGAGGTGTAACGTAACCTTGGTCAGCGAAGTGGTAAAGGGTGTCGAGGTTGTTGCTATCGAGAGGATTGTCTCCGTCGAGTGGAACAGGCACGGAACAGTAAGGGAGTGGTCCGGCAGCTTCCGAAGCTCCAGGTACGTCTTCTTCTGCTACGTCAGCCTCGGCAGCATAGTCGGCGAAGGAGCGAAGGCCTGCGACACCGTCGGTAGGGTCGTCTATGTTGGCGACGTTGTCCGGGTAATGCTGCAGCGTCCGTCGTTCGTAGAATATCACATCACGTGATGCCACGGTATTTGTCTCTTGTATGTCGAGGATTTTCCATGCTTGAAAATGTTTTGCGATGCCGAGGTGTAATCCCCACCGTGCTCGTTGAGTGAATCGACCTGCTCGGGCTGTGTGGGGTCTGTACTGTACCATGCAGCCGAAAACCCGGAGAAATTTTGTGCTGCCCCTTTTTCGTGTCC